TTGTTTGATCCGTTACTTGTTATTATTTTACCAATATATATATATATATATATATATATATTTCATATTGTATTAATGTTAAACACATTTAAAAATTAGGTCAAAAATAAAGTAAATTATAAACAGGTAAAAGACATGACAAATAACAATAAATAATTCGAAAGTGTTATTTGCAATTAAATCTCAAGTACTTGCAAGTAACTCTCAAGTAACAAGTAATAAGACAAGGCAAGTAACTCGCAAGACAATCACTTTTAAAGAAGTACTTGAAATTGCAAGTACTCGTTTTCAACAAGCCAAGTATAAATACAAATTTTTACTACTCGTACAAGGTAAATCAAGTAACAAGTATCACTAAAACAGCAAATACTCGCCTTGTGCCCACCCTTAGCTTTATGAGTAAGGACTAAGGAGCATTAGTGATAAATAAAACTGTTGGGAGTATATGTAAATAAACAAAAATGTTGAGGGTATCTATAATTTTCTATAGAAGTAGTTTTGTTTATATGGGCCTTTATATTTGGCCTTTGACGGAAACATAAATACATATTTAATATTTTTGTTTCTTACGTTCAAACATACATAAGTGCGCATTATATATCTCTTTTTGATCGCTAATACTAATGCAGGAAGCATGCAAGCCGCCAACCTAACACGTAAAGTATATCTAAAGTATTATTTAGTTACTTATTTAAAAAACAAAAATTGGTAAGCAAGTACATATTAACGACGTAACTTATAGTTTAATGTTTGAATTCAATTACCAAACATAATCTACATAAGATATTTGTAGATAAATTGACGTATTGATGATAAAAACTTTTCTAGTGAACCAAATACGTGTAACTATGTGGTTTATTCAAATGGATTGAATATTGTTTTATGTGTCAAAGGCTAGAAATCGAACTTCAGTCTAATATGTGTCAAAGGCTATATGGTCATTGAAGACGTTGTAAATAACAATAAAATCCGGTTTATACAAGTTTTGGAGAGTATAGTGTATATAGAATTTGTGGCTTAGAGTTAAAAATATGAATCTAATATATATAAATCTCTTGTCAACGATATGCAATCTTTCAACTTCGATCATAAGAATTCGGCCGCTGGCCAATCCAACCACGTCATCTAGATTTTTAATCAACCCATTTGGTATATATATATATTATAGATAAGATCCGCCTAATTAGGCGGATGTAAGATATAAATATAAATATAAATTTTTAACGATAGTATTTGAATTTTGCAATACAACTTAACTATCTATTTCATCATATTAAACTCGATTATAATTCTACACACTTCATTTTAAGTGATAACAATTTTATATCAAAATAATATAATAATATTTATATCAGATCAAATCTATATCTTAGTTAATATTAAAAATGATTAATAATTAACAAAATATAATTAATAAAAAACAGAAATCCACAAAAATATTTGAAAAAAAAATTGTTTAAAATATATTTTTTTATACATGGCGTAATCTCGTAAGTTAATTTTACCTCATGCAAACTAATTTTAAATGAGTAAAAATTAATAAATAAAAATATACTTACTTCTCATTAAGTAATTGAAAAGTCAATCATATAAGCTATTTTTCCTAAAAAAAATTGTGTTTTCACTTATGACTACATGCGTTAAAATTCTTAGAATAAAACATAAGTATAAGCTTGCGATAATAGATCAAAAGATGCAAGCCCCTCCATCATAGGATGCGTTGAAATTCTTAGAATAAAACATAAGTATTCAAAAATTTATACTCATAAGCTCATTAATTTGTTTTAAAAAATTTTATATTTTAATTTAATGAATGAAAACACTATATTACAATGATACATACAATTAAACTTCAATGGCCTTTTTAATTAATTATTCTTCACACCAAATGTTTTTTTTTTAAATTATTATGTGCTAAACTTAATTGACCAATAACACATGTAAAAACAAATTTGTTAATTTTCTTTTTGTTAAGAAAAATAACTTTTTTTTAGATATAGACATATAAATTAGTATATATAAATTTATTTCCTATTTTAGTTTTTCTATTTCTTTAAAGAAAAAAAAAATTAACTCTTTTCTAACACATGTCAACATCTGATCAATAGACTTGACACATGACACAATTTTATGAGTTACTAACTTTAAAAACCATACTTAATATTATAAAATAATATATATATATATATATATATATATATATATATATATATATATATATATATATATATATATATATAATCTCCTTTATGTGCAAACCAAACTTTTCAAAATTCTAATTCTCACACTCTTTCTTCACCAATTGAATTCAATAATTTTCATTCTTGATTTCTATTTTGTATTTGTTTTTTTTTTTTTTTTGACATCTGCACAATCGCCAAGACGTGAAACCTCACATGGGTTATGCCAAGATGGGTCTTTATAAAACAAAGTCCAAACGTTCAATTGCTAACTATTATCATATCATACTCATCAATATTTTCATTCTCTCTTCAATCACATTTTCATCCATGGCTTCTTCTAATTCTTCTTCGTCTTCCATTGATTTTTCTACTGCAATTCTAATAAGGGTTGATCAATCGGGCAAAGGAGACTTCAGTAAGATTCAAGAAGCAATAGAATCTATCCCTCCCAATCTAAACAACTCTCAACTCTATTACATTTGGGTTAAGCCTGGAATTTACCGGTAGGATTATATTTAAGTCTTAAGGGTTAGGGTTTAAGATTGATGGTTAAGGGTTTAAGTATTTAGTATTGGAGTTTAGAGTTAGATTATTTATAAACATATAAAAAACTTAAACTATCTCTTAATTTTCATGTAAAAAATTAAGCTATTCACAATTCTTCCGAAGTTATATAGGTTTTGTTGATATGGTTGTCCTTTTATCAGCTGGTTATTCGGTATTAGGCTTCGACATATATAGAATTATATTTGTATATTCATTTTTGCAAAATATATATTATCCATGAAAAGTTAATTCTATGCTTGATTAGATTCCATGTTTAAGTATAGTTTTATTAATGTTATTTAGCGATTTGATTGAAAACAGAGAAAAGGTGGTGATTCCTGCGGATAAACCCTACATAACATTGAGTGGAACACAAGCTTCCAACACCTTTCTCATATGGAGCGATGGTGGAGACATTTTGGAATCACCCACTCTCACAATATTTGCCACCGATTTCGTATGTCGATTTCTCACTATTCAGGTTAATCTTCGTCTCATATATACATCGTATATATGCATGTTTTAAAATTCAATTCCAATGTAGAATACGAAAATATCATTACTTGTGGCGTGTTTTGTTTTGTTGTAAGTAGAATAAGCTTGGAACGGCGGGACGGGCGGTTGCACTGCGGGTGGCAGCGGATAAGGCAGCGTTCTATGGATGCGTGATAACATCGTACCAAGACACTCTCCTTGACGACAATGGAAACCATTACTTCAAGAACTGCTATATTGAAGGAGCCACCGATTTCATTTGTGGAAGCGCTTCTTCTCTCTATGAAGTAAATACTAACTCATTTTACATAATTAGTTCCATTAAAAGTAATAATCTTAACATAATAATGATTACATTTCACTTTATTCTAATTTTCAAAAGATTAAGGATCCGATTGATTAGAGTTGTTGTTAATTCCATTATTTTTGGGATGCATGCTCTTAGAGGAAAAAATTAACATGTTCCATTTATAGATAAGAGTTAACTTTCTCATCTTTAAACATAAACCTTAATTTTCTTTGTTCCTGGTTTCACTTGTAGAGATGTCATCTACACTCGTTGTCACCGACTAAAGGGTCTATAACGGCGCAAATGAGAACGTCGGCGACGGAGAAATCAGGGTTTATATTCTTGGGATGCAAGTTAACCGGATCCAGTTCCACGTATTTGGGAAGGCCATGGGGACCTTATTCTAGGGTTATCTTTGCTTATTCCTTCTTCTCCAATGTCGTCGCACCTCGAGGGTGGAACCAATGGGGAGATTCAACCAAAGAAAAGTACTAACATTTTACCTTTTGGTTTGTGGTTTAATTCTTATAAATATTTTTGACTAATGTACACTAATTTTTTCTTTTAATAATTGTTCAGTACCGTATATTATGGTGAATACAAATGTTACGGTCCCGGAGCAGACAGGGGACAAAGAGTAAAATGGTCAAAACAATTATCCGACGACGAAGCTACCGTCTTCTTGAGCAAGGACTTTATCGGCGGCAAAGACTGGCTCCGACCTGCCCCTTCCCACTTCAAAAAATGGTCCCAAATAAACCCGAAAATATATAAATAAATTAATAATTCCATTAATTAATATTTTTTCTTCTTTTTTTGTTCTTATTTAAATCCTTTAGACATATCGCTTGTAATTAATTGTGTGTAATATTTTTATTGATGTAATGTATATAATTAACAAAACACGTATATAATACACCTTTTTTTTGGTATCAAGTATTTTATACAATTTTCAATTTTTCGACCGCGAATACAAAGATAACAAAAGAGACATAGAAACCAAAAACTAAAACTAAGTATCCACGAATACAAGAGAAAACACGACAAAGAAAAACTGCAAAATTTGGAATCTTGCGATATTGCTCGAAGAAGAAACATCAATTCCGAACCGCAAAGTTTGGAATCTTGCGATATTGCCGCAACTCGAAAGAGCTAGAGTCCAAGTGTATTATATACATTTTGTAAGAAAACTTCCATGACCACCAAATTTTTCATTCCGCCTCATGAAAAAGGATCTGTTAAGAATAGTTATTGTTCGTGTGCCAAAAAAAAAAAAAAATAGTTATTGTTCATCAAACAGTTCTTTTTGTTCTAACAAAGAGTTTTGTCGACTTCTCGAGAGACCATCACGTGATTGATAATTTCGTATGAACAACACCAAAATTCATACGATTCGTAGAACTCGTTGAATCTTTTTGCTTGAATAATTAAATTCAAGAAATGATCAAATTGATGATACAAATGAAAGGTATTTAAAAGCAAACATAAAAGAAAAAAAGAATGAATGTGTTGTAAAATAAAAATAAATCATATTTACAGAAGAGGGTACTTGGGTTTAAAAGGGAACGAACAAAGAACAATTTTTCTGCAACATAGAAGAAACAAATTTAAACTAATCACCATTTTTTTTTTTCCCTTCTTCTTCCTTGTAGCTGCATAACAATTCTAGCAATTTGATTAAAACCATCACTACAAAACATTCCAAAGTGGTTTAAAACCTATCCTTTTTCTTTCTTCTGCAGAAAATGTGGCTGACAATCGAAATCAATCAGCACGAGAGCCGCCGCTGCTGCTCGCAGAAGATCTCCGGCCACTATATTTCTGCCACACATATCAAAATTTCAGATATATTAGTAACTCTAAACTCAAACCCTGTATTGTAATATGAATGTTGACTTTGTAGAGAAGTGGGCAGGATTTTATTGACTCATAGAAGAGTAAATTAAGATGACTAGACATGGGGTTTTTGTATACAAGATAAAACTAAAAGATCAAAGTTGTAAGAACAGATTACCTGTTTTCCGATGCTGAAAGGAATGTACTTGTGCTTGATCATGTGGGCGATTTGGCGTCTCATGGTGAGGACAAAGAGAACAACCCAGTAGCAAAGCAATATAGGCCAGAAGACAGGAACGTCAAAGACCGAGAAGAATGTCATGAGAAATGCTATGCAGAATGCCTTAGTCATGGAGTACCTGTCAGAGATTCAATCCAATTGTCACTGAAAAGAAAAGAAGCTACCGTGTTCTTATGTGTAGAGTTATGACAATGACCAAGTGTTTCTTCCTGGATGTATCATTCAGGAAGATATTAGGACAAAAAAAACTGAGCAATTATATATAACTAAGAGCATAGTGTTTATACATTATGTCATTCAATCCCGATGAGCATATAAGGAACAGAAAACAAAATTGAATATGGCGCTGCAACACAAGCATTACCAGCACACTTGGTTAAAAAGATGGTATATGGTAAACCACCTGAATGCTAATAGAATTTTAAATATGACTTATCACAAAGAACATGATATGCAATGACGATAATCCAACAACATAATTGAAAGCATAAGTTGCAGTGTTCTAAAAAGCGGTCTAGGCGGTCGCCTAGGCCCCGACTAGGCGCTAGGCTCTCATGCGACGCCTAGATAACCGCCTTGACCGTCTAAAATTACATAGATCTTGTTTAATGTATTTTTTCAATTTCAATTAGAGTTTTATTTATATATATATATATATAGTTATAAATATTCATATATTGTTTAATATATAAAATCAATTAAATGTTTTATCTAGTTTTTGTTTATAATTTCATAATTTTTTGTTTTATTAGATATTTTATATAAATTTTATATATGATATTATATTTATTATGTTTTATGTTATAAACGTCTAAACCGCCTAAAAAATCGCCTAGGCTTCGATTAGGCGTTCTAGGCGCTAGGCATTGGGTCACCGCCCGCTTAGCGCCTAGCGCTTTCTTGAACACTGATAAGTTGTAAGGAGACAGGCAAAAGGGTACCAGAATTTAAACTCTGGCAGTCGACGGATAAATGGCTTGAACTCATCAGAACCTCGAGTAGGGAGAGTAGCTCCATCAGTGACTTCGAGCTCAGGATCAACAAGAGGGGACAAGAACCCGATAAGCAGATTCAGGAGGTAGATTCCAAGACCATAGGAGATGATATAGAATCCCTGAATGGAGTAAACCCTCAAACAGTAGATAAGAAAGACGACAAGTGTTCCGATCCACCTGTTAGTTGAATGAGGAGTAGTCTTGTCCAGATAATATTGGTAAACCCTCCATGCCTCATGTACCTTCTTTTGTACAGGTGTAGCCATCGAACCACTGTCACCACCACTTCCATCCATTGTGATTCTTGCAACCTAGAAATGAGCACGAAAATGAAGATCTACTCAGAGATCTTACCTATTAAGTACAGAACAAATAACCCTAGCTTCGATTTCTCAACTTGTTAAGCAAAAAAACAATCAAGAGAACGCCATTAATCATCTCTTAGCTAAACAATCTCACTAGTTAATCCCAAAACCCTAAACACAACAAACGGATAATGAAATTCTTCTCTATCTCTTTCGGATTTCAACATATCGCAAGAGTCAGATCTGGAATCGGAACTGAATCGTTCCCAATAAATCACCAAATTCGTCGAAAGCAGCATTAAAACAACGAGAAGGAGTGCGAGGAGAGAATCAATCGGAAGAAGAAAAATGGAAGATCAAGCATTAGAGAAGCTTCTGAAAAGGACTTACGGATGGTGAAGAAAGATTGAATAGCTTCTTCAATACGACAGAGATCTCGACGACGCCAGCGAAAAAGATGCAGATCTGGCTAAGGCTAAGGACGACGACGACGCTCAATTTCACAAGACTCCGTTTTTTTTTTTTTTTGAAATTAATTAAATGAAATTTCCTTGTGGGTATTCTTATATAATAAATAAACTACGCATGAGCCACCAATTAAATGTTTTGTTCGATGTAAGCCCACATTTTATTTTATTTTCACATTCACCCCTTAATATTATTTTTTCACACTTTTAACCCATAATCTCACATTTGATTAACTAAAAAACTCAATCAAAATCATCATTATTATGTTGGATTTACCAATTTATAATTGGTGTCAAAATCTGTTGTTATTCACTCAATGATTTTAGAAATTATTAGTATATTATGATGATATTTTAGTATTTTAAATTTTAACAAAAGTTTGATTATTATTTGTGGTATGTAGTTTGAATGTGGATGGTGGTGACACAAAGACAGGAGATAAATTGCTTATTTTTTTGAATAATACAAAGAGAATCATCAAAGGTTCTAAATACAAAAGATGATAAGAGAGGGAGAGATCGGCCGATCAGTCTTCCGTCGCCGGAGCACTGATCAAGACTTCACTGTGTTCTTATTTGTTCTCTATATCTCTATCTCTAGTTATACTAAACTTGAGCTCTTCTAATTGTACAATGATGGAAGCTTTCTCTTTTTAATCTCCAGCAAGATTGTTGCTAGGTGGACTTACAAGATTGCAGCTTTCAAGCTCCATTCATATTACAGTACCGTCTTGAATTGTCGCCTTTTCGACTATCACAGTGATTCCCAATCGAATGTAGAATCCTTCCTCTGGCCTATCTGCTTCTTGTACATCCTGAAAACATGGAGACATAAGGTCTTTAAGATTTGATCTTTCTTCAACAGTTGAAAATCTGAGGGAGAAGAAATTCACGAAAAGCTTACGCCTTTGTTCATGATGATCACGTTTTTACCGATCTTGGCATTCTTGTCAATGATGCATTTCCTATAAACTCACCAGGAAGAAAAAACACTCTTGTTGTTTCAGACAAATCCATTTGAAGAGGGTTTTGTTTGTATGTTATGTGTTTTCTCAAAACTTACCTGACCTTTGTGTCTCTACCAATGCCAATTGGAACCTTTCCTTCTGCTAATAGAGATGCAATTTCAGATTCAGTTTGGTAGTAATCTGCACCTAACATCAATGTATCCTTTGAAAAGAAAGAAAACCAAGCTCAATTTGATCGCAACAAAGTTAAAATAATTTCGATTGTTTTAGATCAAAGTGAAGAGATTGAAGATTCACCTGAAGCTCAACTCCATAGTCTAGACGTGACCGTTCACCAATGATGGAACGTTGGATGCTGCATTCTCGCAGGAAACATCCGTGTGAGATTATCGAATCTACCATCTACAAAATCATCAAAACAGAACCATACTAAATAATTAGCAACTGGAATCAAAGAAACAACCATAAAGAAAAAGATGTTTTGACACATACGCGACATTTCTCAGCTTTGGTTGGTGGGAGGAACCGAGGAGAAGTGTAGAACGGAGTGTCTGGATCATAGAATTCAAACTTTGGTCGCTGGAGAACAAGATCAAGAAACAAAAAAGTTGAGAAAAATGTATCCAAGAACGTCATAATAAGGTGAAAGACTGGAGTAATGCTTCTTACCTCCTCAACAAGAGCTAAATTAGCCTCATAAAATGTCTTTATAGTTCCAATATCCTCCCAGTAATCTCGGAATATGTATCCCTGACAAAAAACAATACAAAACTGTTAGATCATTCGTTGTGTACAACGGATAAAGAAAAACAAGACACGAGTTTTCTAAAATCTTACTTGAACATCGTGATCTCTTATGGCTGCAGGAATAACTTCAGATCCAAAGTCATTGGAACTCGGATACTGTCTTGTTAGAAGGTTCAGCAAAGCTTCGGTTTTGAAACAATAAACTCCCATAGATGCAATGTATGGAGAATCTGTTGCTTCTTGATGAGACAGTCCAAGCATTGTTGTGTCTGTTTGCTGTAAAAACCAAAGAGAAAAGTTTCAAGTTTTTGAAATGCTTTATGACTTTAAGAAGTTGATTTGTTTTAAGAATCATAGAAAACTATACCATTGATTTCAGATCGACTCCCGTTGGTTTCTCGGAGAAATGGATTACACGCCCACCTCTATCAATCTTCACTAGACCAAAATTCGATGCGCGGCTAAAGAATTCACAAAAAAAAATGGTTTCAAGAACGGAGATTTCTCATAGAAAAGACGTAACGAGATTCAAGATACTAACCTTTCACTGACTGGTGCACATGAAAGAGTAATATCCGCATTACTATCGACATGAGACTATTACAACACACTGAGTTAGTGCAACTTTAAAGAGGTTTAAGATGATGAAGAACAGATCTGTTTAGATTTAGATATATTACCTGAACAAAGTCCATGTAGTTCATTCTATAGAGATGATCTCCAGACAAAATAAGTATGTTCTCAATGTTCCTGTTCTTGGCATCCTAGTTTTTAAGACATCAACAGCTTTTAGACTACTTCAAAGATCACAAAGGAACTGACATAATAAACCAGTAAAAAAGTGATCATAAGTTCATACCTCAAACACCCAGAGGAATTTTCTGACAGCATCTGCTGTTCCTTGAAACCACATTTTCCCAGCTTCCCCCGGTGTTTGTGTTGCAGCAAGAACCTATTCAATAAGATTTTACTTTTGCTTTGTTCCTCGAAAATTCAAGAAAGCTGAATGTTTAAACTGTCATAGTGTTTATACCTCTACGAAACCACCTCCGAAGTTTATGCCATTCCCAAAATAAGTGCGTGCTAAATGTCGGTTGAGGGAAGCAGAGTTGAATTGTGTCAGCACAAAGATCTTGTTGATGCAGCTGTTAATGCAGTTACTCATCGGAATATCGATCAGCCTGTAGCATCCACCAACAGGAACCTAACATAATTTGAAGACACAAGAATCCTCATTACACAAAAACATTGTTTTATAGATAAGACCCTTGAGGTCCTAAATCTCCATGAATGTTATTTACAGTTTTGGTTTTTCAGAAAGAGGAAACAAAGAAAGATGAATACTTACAGCTGGTGTTGCGGCTCTCATTGTAAGAGGGAAGAGTTTAGCTCCATTACCTCCTCCTAGAATGATTGCAGCCACGTTTTGCGGGTCTGCCTTTCTTCTCTCAAACATGGAAGGCTTTACAGTCTGAAAAAACAAAGCAAACAGAATCAAGAACTCTGGACTTTTCCGATTAAGCAGTCTTCTTGAGGCAAGTCTTAAGAAAGTTATCGAAGGTACCGCTGAATCTGAGCGACACAAAGCAAGCCTAATGCCATTTAAGCAAGAGAGAAAAGAGTAAACTGATCAACGTACCATAGCCTTTTTTGGATTATTCGAAGTGGCAACAGCGTAAACAACACTGCGCTTGAACTTTCGATTCTTGGAGTCCAAATCTGATTTAGAACGTTTAAAGAAACCATTGTTGTTGATCTTCTCACCCCAAAATCTGATCTCCACATTCTTGAAACAGAGTTTTGGCAGAATAGAACTACTTGTCCCCAAGGCAAAGTAGTAAGAAGAATCCATCTTTTTAGCTGCAAAAACCCAAAAATAAACAACAGAAACCTCGGAAAGTTAATAGCAGATACGAATTAGCGCAGAAGAATAATAAAAGCTTCAAGTAAAGTGAATAATACACAAAGCGTTACAGTTTCTATCTACTTAATAATATAATGAAAATAGTAATAGAATAATCCAAACCCATTGTTCAAATCTAAGCAAAGTGTTAAAGTGAAACCGACCAGAGAAATCCTGAAAAACATTTCTTGAGAGTACCCAATAGATAAATCCTCGAAAGCTACAAACTTTCCAGAAACCCAGATGATTCACAAACATAGATCCCTGAAACTCTCAAAAATCTCATCGTCTCAAAACACAAAAACTCTTGGAAGTTTCAAACTTACTAATGGTTTTATGAGTAGTACCAATCTCCATTAGGCTTGAAGGATCATTAACTTTAAATAAGCCGGAAGATAGATACTAAGAAGTAGAATAAAGTTTCAATTTTTCATCATCAAACCAAAGAAAACATCATAAAAATGAATTATTTTCTTAGTGCACATTGGTTAAAAACTACTAAACCCAAAGAAAGCAAAATCGAGAAACCTCAAAAGACAGAAACTTTTTCATGTTCAGAAGCTAAAAACAACGATCCAGATAGAAGAAGAAGATCTAGGAATTTGTATTCGAAATTTAAACACCCAGATAGCTAGAAAACCATTACGACCATAAACAGCATCATTAGCAGAGAGTATTAATAACTTACCAGAAAGTTTAACACTTTTTAATGATTTTGATTAAAATGTTTGTTGTTCGTTTGAAATGGAAGGAGAAGAAGACTGAAACAGTGCGTGGTTGACGGTGGAAGCTGTTACTTTTTCTGGTTTTTGGTCCTGTGATCCCTCCACGAGAAAGTATACTTATTTTCTCTCTTTGGCCAATTTATTTTTAAAATTGTGTTTCTGTTTGTGTCTGTGTTTGTAATCTCCTCTCTTGAGACAATTTCAATTGTGTAGAACTGATCTCAGTTACTTCTATATATCGAATCTTTCTAGGCCTGGGCAAAAAAACCGTACCCGAGTACCCGAACCGAAACCGACCCGAAAAAACCGGTTCGGGGCGGGTACGGGTATTAGCTATTTACCCTATTGGGTCTTGTATTGTCGTACCCGTGGGTATAGGGTAAAACCCGATCCGAACCCGATACCCGAACGGGTACCCGATTACCCGAAATTACTTATACTTATACATATAAAAACTTTATATATATGTAATATTTGAGCTAAATACATTTATATCCAAATATCCGAGAGTAATTACCAAAAATTAAATGCACTTATATTTATATATTTAAGACTAAATATATTTATACGCGAGATGCTTGTAAATTTTTTAAATATTTGGACAAAATTCCGGTTATTCGGATAAATTTTTGGGTGAAACTTGGATATTTGAGTAAAATTGCGGATAAAAGTCGGATATTAGAGTAAAATTTCGGGTAAAATTCGGGTATTTGGTAAAATTTTGGGTATTTGGGTATAAAATACCCGAACCCGATGGGTGCCCGATTTTTTCGGGTATTTAGCGGTTCTAAAAATCTAAACCCGAACCGACCCGAACCCGATTAGACCCGAACCGAAACCGAACCGATATTTTAGATTTATCCTATTGGGTCCTAAACTCCTCTACCCGAAAGACCCGTACCCGATCGGGTTTTACCCGAACCCAACCCGCATACCCGAATGCCCACCCCTAAATCTTTCATTCACATTAGTAAATTCTGACTAGTTTGGTAAAAAAATTGCATATAATAATATAGAAAATTTTATATATAATATATTTAATAAGTGACTGAATAAAACATAATGAATTAAATTCAAAAGAAAAGTAATTTTGGGTTAAAGGTAAATTAGGAATTAGTTAAAAAATTATTGGAAATGTAGGACAACGTTCTTATGAAAAAATAAAATTTCAAAACGATATTTTTTGTGAAATAGAGAGAGTTTATAAAAAAATATATATATGTTAATAAATCAAACGTGCAAGAAGAGAAAAACATAATTGATAAAAATTATAAGCAAAAAGACAAAAGAAAATTTTATATTTTCATTTGTTTTACACTCTTTTAAATACTTTATAAATTTGAAAAAAAAAGATTTCAGAAGAAAAAATATTGAGAAGATCATAATGATGTGATGTGAGTCATGTGACTGTTACAATAAACGGACGGCTCTGGTTTCTCCCATACTCTTTCTCTACTGCAACATAGACACGTTGAATCCCTTGGTCCATACATATTCATCTAACAGACGTTCTGTTGTGTTTTATTTAAATATGAATAAACCAAATGTTTTTCTTTCTATTAATTCAAAAACATTTTTACTTTTTAAAAGTAATATAAAACATTTAGAGAACTGATTATTTTTATTTATATAATATAATCAAAATATTTTTAACAGGAGGTTTTATAATTTCCACGTTTGAAATAATAGATGAGTGGGAAAAAACAATAAACAAAGAAAACCATTACAACCATTAGATTACATGGGTTTATCACTACCTTTTTTACTTAATTTATATACAAGAACAAATAAGTTACAAAGTGATGATTTTCGACGGTCAGGGTTGTCTATAGAAAGGTACAAGAACAAATATCTAAAACACCTATCATGTGTAATGTCATGTGTGAGAAAGTGACGTTTTTTGTAACCATTAGTATGACTCAAAAGTAGTGAAGTTTGATTGATGCTCAGTTATATTGGAATTCCTTGTTTTTTATTGGAGTTAAACAAATTTTATGGCTTTTGATCAAAAAAAACAAAAAAAAAAAAAAACTAATTTTACGGCCGCAAAATTGTCGTAGAAACCATTTGTATGGACTCAAACGCAACTTAAAATATCTTTTCTTTCCAACAAACAAAATTCATTTAACGAACCAACTCATTTATCAAACAATATCTCAAGTAGTTTGAGGGATTGGATATGCTAATCTTACAAGATTAAAGGATCAATGAAAATAATATTGTAAACCCAATAGAACCCATAAAGTCTTGTTCTCTGTGTATATTGACGATGGTATAATGAAATGTTGATGATACTGATGATGTTACAAATGTGACTAATACGATAAAGAGTAAAGATAGTATGATGATAGCAAATTAGTTCTTCTAAATCTACTTTATATCAATAATAATGAACGAATCAATACTGATTCAGATATAAATTGATACTCTATGTCCCTTTTTGATCCCTAACTAGGAATAGATGGGTGACTGTTAACCACGAGACTGAGCTCTTTCACCTTGTTATTCATATATAGGTTTGTTCTGCTTGCCTGGCTTGCCTTGATTCCTTTCCTTGCTTGTATTTTATTGATTGGCTTGGAATAATTCAACTCAGGAATTTAGATAGACTTTTGAAAAGGAAAAAATAGAAACCAACTCCGATTTAAATTGACATAATATCTCAAAACAACATTCTAAAGAGGTTCTGGAGTACAAAGGAGTAACGAGAACCAAAAAAGAACTATAAGAGTTCTGATGATTAATGTATACAACAAAAGACAAAAACCAAGATGAGAGTCGAGAACCAAACCATTGAAAAAGTCAAGCTTTTTAGGTGTTGGTGGCACGAGTGTAGATCTGCTGGCTCGAGTGAGCAGAGACCATCCTGATCAAACCCTTCGCCATTAGCTCCCTTATGGCTCTCCTCGCAAGAGACCCATTAATCTGATTTTCCACAATTCAAACCATAACAATGTCAGAGACTAACAACATCAAACTAACACAAACCATGCAGTTTCTAAGAATGCAATAGTGATATAAAGATTGTATATACCCTCATACGGTCGGAGAGTATCGACGGAGTGATAAGCTTGAACTTGGGAGCTTCAGTGAGAAGCTTGTCATAAGTGCCTTGATCAAACAAAACCATGTTGTTAACCTTCTCCTTTTGCTTTCCCTTGCTCCACTTCTGTTTTGTTTAACAAACAATTCATCGAAACAAGAAAACAATTAAGCACCAAAAGCATGAAGAATGCAACATATCACACAAAGCAAGACAAATGTATACACATAACCAAAGCTAACTCAAATCAATACTCTCTCGAGAGACTTTGTATCATATCAGAGCAAATAGAAACCTAAATCTTCAGCCAAATTCATATTAAACCTAAATCAATCTACGAAACCTAAATCAATTTCTCAAAACTCTAGACATAAACAGAGAGTTGAAGCATTTTGTTGCTTCAAAATCGACATTAAAAGTAGCTTAAAATGGAGGAAACGGACCTTCTTCTTCTGTTTTCCACCTCCGGATTTCGCCGGCTTCGATGACGGCGGTGGAACCTTATCCTTCTTTGGCGCCTGAAAACAAACAACATTTCAAAAATTAGATAATCTCGAGAAGAGAAACAAAGCGATAGAGATAGACGGATCGAGAGTGAGAGAGAGTAACCATGGTGATTTCAACGGAGCAACGATCGGCGAGTAGGGAAGCTGCTTAAGAGGAAGACGATGCTCAAGAGGAGACGACAGTGAGAATGAATTGGTTTCGTTGTTTATATATTAGGGTTTACGAGTCTCTCAGCGTTAAGAGGCTCCATTTCTCCTAGAAAGCCCATTAATGTTTTTTATTCAACAAGCCCATTAATGTTTATAAACCCACAATATTCATTAAGCCCAATTAAATTATGGTGAGTTACACAATTCCCAAATGCATTGGATTGGTTATGAAGAAAATGTGAGAAACGTTGGAAAATTTAGAACATAATTGAGAGAACTTACGAATATAGAATATTCTTTTAATTATCAATCTGCTTTGATTCACTTTTTCTATATTTTCTACTTTTTTTCTATCTAATTGCAAATGAGTAGATGAAAAGATATTTGCTCCCAAACTATAAAAGTATCTAGATATATGTTCTTTATCTTAAGCTCTATCATACTATAATATCTAGATATTAATTTAATGTTGCAAATATAAAGATTTTTCCTAACATAATATCTAGGGAGAGTTACTAGATTAACCCAAATTTTGAGTTTTATTACTAGATTGACTCACAAATAATTTGGGGTTAAATGAGTTATTTTCATACCTAAAATACCTTTGTCTCATGTGTAAAAAAAAAAAAATAATACAAAAATACCCTACATAAAAACTTCCAGCAATTTTAGAAAAATCTGTTATCTACTTGACAGATTTCTTAGATTATGGTTACGACAGACTTACAAAATTTTAGCAGATTTGTTTTCCTTGACAGATTTTTTTTCATTCAATCACATACTTGAACAATTTGTGACAGACTTGAACAATTTGTGACAGACTTATTGTAATGTCTGGCTGATTTAATTTGTAAGAAGCGGCATATTTATTATTTTCGAAAAAAAACTGTCATGTTGTGACAGATTTGCTGACTTAAAATTAATTACTAGATTGACCTCTAATGGTAGCAGATTTGTTCTATGTTATGACAGATTTTTATAATGTTACCATAAATCTATCGTGTTACAACAGATTTGTTTTCAAAATATAATCTTTTTTTGTTATGACAGACTTGTTTTATGTTATGACAGATTAAATTATATTACCACAAATCTGTCGTTTGATGGCAGATTTGTTAAATTAATGAAAGAATTGCTAGAATGACCTTATAATGTTGTATGTTGCGACAGATTTGTAATTATGAAACCCTTTCATGACAGGTTTTTTTTTTTTTTGACAGATTTTTTTCCTATAATAATATTTACAGTGGTGACAGTTTTTTTTTTTTTTTAATTGTAATGACAGACTTATTAGAGCAGTTACCATATTTACCACTAAAACATTAAATGTCGACATCTAGGGTTTTTGTGAAAAAAACGTGGCCTTCATTGTTTTCTTTTCTCAAACGTGGAGCTGTTAGGTTTTATCCTTTTGGGGTTTCTTTCGATTTCATCATTTTTTTCCTATTGGGGTTAAGCAAATTACGTATTTTTTTGAGTTTTTTCTCTCGATTTTGGGTTCTTCTGTTCTCGTGTCTGGGTTTAGAGAAAAACAATGTCACACAGCAAAGGCAATGGATTGGATATGGATCAGATGATTCTCGTATGTGGTAGTTGGATCTATGAATTAAATCTGCGTTGGAGATTGTGATGGAAAAGAAAAAACCAAAGAAACAATACACTTGTGGTAAATGCAATCAAGTAGGACATAATCGTAAGACATGCCCTTCATAGACATCTTTTTTTTATTTTCTTGTTATGTCCTTTGTGATGAACTATTACGATGTGTTATATTGATAAGTTTCATCTTGTTACATTTGTTTGTTCTAGCATTTTCTGCTTGACGATTTATTGGTTCACTTCCGTTGGATTTATACTATTGCACCTTATTGATTTTGGTTCCGTACGTATGAGATTAGTATCATGAACGGGATAAAAATCAATACAGAATCACAATGTCATATACCTACACGAAAAACAAAATCGTAATCGTGATACTGAAACAGAGACGACCCTGCAAAGATGTACTTTCTTGGCAGCCCATGTGTACTCTAGTTCTGCTAGCTTAATAAACACACCTAGTGATGGTTTCTCCAATTCATCCCACACATCAAGACCTAATCCTTCTCTGATGAGACCATTCTTGGACAGATAACAATTGTGGTTCATGCTTCTATGTTGCAAAGGTGATTTTCCTTCTGCATATAGACGAGGAGGATATTTGAAGACATTACTCGAAGACGTCATTCCTGAAGATTATCAAAATAATAAATCAGCATGTAAGAGCATTAATACAATCAGCTAATATATAGTTTAAAACAAATCTGATGCAAAACAAATTAAAACCAAATGAATTAATCCAAAAAGCTGTCACCAAATCTCTAATATTGGATCACAATAAAAGTGGCTATAACGATCATTTTTCATTTCAAGATCAATAGATTCAGCTAATAAACTAATAGCATATTTGGAGACATTACTCGAAGACGCCATTGCTAAACAGACAAAAAATAAAACAAAACACCAAATAAAATGAGCAATAAATCAATCAACTAATAGAAGATTTTCTAAACAATGGAAAAGAAAACATGTGATAACTCATACTAATCCAATGGCAAAAGAAGCTTCCACAAACAATACACACAAATATAACATTAATCTGTAGCGTATGTTGTTAATATGTGAGCAAACTAAAATTTAATTAACAATTGAGATTCAAAATAGCAGAATTTAAGAGAATGTTGTTAACATGTGAGCAAAAGTCCAAAACAATTAAAAGACGTAAAGGAATTCAAACAAGGAAGGAAGGGCATTATCTTTAGAAATATAAAACGTAAAAGGAGACCAAAGACTAAAAACATTATTGGATTAAGGTGACATCATTGTGCATAGTGCGTTAGACCACAATCCGTACCTGAATAATGAAGAATCTTAGAATTCTATGAATTTGGCCACAAATTATATTGACGAATGAGATCTGCAACAAACAAAAGAAGTGCCAATCAAAATTAATTATTGAAAATTGAAAGAGAGTTTTTTTTTTGTTTTTAAGAATCGAACAAGAAAACACACCAATTGTCTAAATTGAGACTGTGTGAAGAAAGACGAAGACGAGAAATAAAACCAATTGATGAATCAACGACGTCTGTAGCTGCTCTCCTCGATGCGATGTTGGCAAACAAAGAACCAATAAATCATTAGATTACTTTCAAAATCAATCTCAATTGCAAATCAAAAACCAATTTTCAACCATGGGAGTAGAAATTAAACTCACGGATTGTCAATTGAGAAGGATAATGTCGTTAATGGAGGAAGGAAGGAAACAGTGACAAGAGGAGAGGATTAGAGGAAGAAGCACTCGCAAAGCAGATGACGGGTCGACGTGGAAGGGCCGAACGCCGGAAATTTAAAGAACCTCCGGAGAATGAAAACCGCCGGAGACTCTAGCGTCGCCGAACGCTGAAATTGACGGCAGATTCTCCAGAGAAGGAGCACTGGCGTTTATGGCTACTCTCCTCTAATCGGCGGTGGCGAGATATGCGACGGAGAAGTGGAGTTCAATGTGAGAAGTCTTGACTTGTTTTTTCTTTGTTTGTGTCGTCGGCTGTAAAAAACAATTGAAGTCGAGAGATTAGGGTAGAAAGAAGACAAATGTTTTCTTTATTTATTAATTTTAATTTAATTTTATATGTTTTTTTTAACACTGAAATGAAAACGAAATGGGCTTTTGGTCATTTTATACCAAATTTGTGTTATTCTAGTTAGCCACAAATTTTGAGTGTTAATCTAGCAATTAGTTTCAAAATTTGTGTCAAACTGGGTAATTTTCACTAATTTCTAACTAATAAAATTCCCACACTAAAGCGAGAAGTTTAAAGTATTTCTATTTGTAATCACCAACACAAAGAACAAATGTATTGTCATTGATTATCACAATGCAATCTTGTAAACCAAAAGTTACGATTCCTGATCATAACGTATATGATCAGCAGTTCAAGGAACAAGTGCAAAGGCTACCGTTTAGATATTATTTGCAATCTCCATGGTCCCATATCTCCATTTACTGCATTCCACTACAAAAAATATCCACATTGATAGCATCTGACGATAGCTCATTTTCCGTAACTGTTATGATAGATGAATTTTATTTTTTGATTATTATATATAGCACTAAAACAACGCTAAAATAAAAAATCACCAAATCAGAAGCGAAAATCACTTATTCCGCCAATACTTACATGAAAATTTCACTTAAGCGCCATAAACTTCAGAAACCAAAATTTTAAGTGTTATAGTTTATAGCCAAAGCCAAAAAAAACTTACTAGCTGTTTACGACAAAAAAAAAAAACAAAATTCCCCCAAATCGAAACCTAGGTTCTCATCGACTCCGACTCCACCGTGAGCTCGCCGCCGGCCTCATTTTGCATCTCTTCATTATCCTTCAGTCTCCAGCTTGGTTCACGAACTCGGTCGATTCCTCCAATGCAGACAACACCAATCTGGACAAGGATCGAGACGGAGTTCGGGACCGAGAACGTGACTGTGACAGGGAGAGAGATAGAGGGCGAGATCGAGACTGCAATAGGAATAAAGACAGAGAACGAGAGCGAGAGAGAGACCATGAGCGTGGTCGTCGTGAACGAGATCGTGAACCGGATATGAGAAATAGAGATAAGGATCAAGAGGAGGAGGCTAAGGCTAGGAAGAAGGTAAGGGTTGAGAAATTGGTTGAGAGAGAGAGGGAGAAGGAACTCGTTTGATATGAAGGTTTATGAGAAGATTTATTTGTTTTTTTTGCCATATTTGTGTTACTTTCTCTAGCTCAATGCTTAGGTTAATTGTTTTTGTAACTTGTCTTCGTTTTATGGTTTTATTGTGATAGGAAACTTGCTGAGAAGGTTGCAGATCTGGATTATATGTCGTGGTTCCTGATGTCTTCCATGGAGATCCATATAATCTGAGAATCAAGATCGACCTTTAACAATGGTATGGTTAAAAGTTTAGTTTTTTCCTGTTGGTTTCATGATCCGTTACTTTTGTTAAAACTTGTTGGTTTCTTGTGTTCATGAGCATCGTGTTATAACTGCTAGTGGTGTTGTGTCTGTCATTGTCTTTGGAGATAGAGAAAAGCGACCATTGATTACTTATCCTGATTTGACCTTAAACCGTAAGTCTGAAGAATCTCTGTTTTACTGAATTTGTTAATGTTTTCGTTGCTTCTTGCCTTATAGTTTGCTTGTCGTGATTACTCACATAATTTCTCTTTTTTTCTTGTATCTTCACGAAGAGTTCTTGCAGTTAGGAGCTGCTCCAATTTTTCCTAATGACTCAGCCCCTTGTGCTGAAAACTTGGCAGATCAGATCCTTGAATTCTCAACTTTTTCGGGTAATGATTTAATTCCTTATATCTGGCTTATTGTAGTTCTCAACTTTTGTTCTATAATGTATAATGTATGCTTTTGTTCAGTCTTGGTGTTGTGATGTGTATGGGAGTGACTGTAGATGCTTATGTCCTCACCTTATTCCCGGTATGTTCCTATTTATTTTTCTCTACTCACAGTCCATTGCTTCAGATGAATATTGTGTTTATTATCTGTTCTATGTTTTAAAACTTATCAGATGAAACATAGAGAACAAGTTCTTGGTTTGATATCAGTTTTTCTCTATGTAGCTGCAGAAGGAGCTTGATGAGTATGAGAAGGAAATGTCACTCGGGGAGGAGCTGCAAAAGAGTTCTCAGGTTCCTTATCTTTCCTCTACCAAATCTTATATCTCAAGTTTGCGTATCTGTACAAATAGAATTATTAGTTTGAAATAATGCTTAATCACATATTGTTTGTTTTACAATTTGATCAAGCTGTTGATACGAGAGAATGGTTGAAGAGATGGGAGTCAAGTTCAAGGAGAAAGTTGACTATATCGTTTAATATATGATGTTAGTTTTAGTTTGTTTAAGACTAGGCGATAATTTAGTAAAATAGTATAAGACTTAATACAATGTTATGTATGACTTGTTTTTTGTAATGTAATATTACTTGTTGATGATTTATAAAATATAAACATTATATATATATATATATGTCCAATAAGTAAATTTTACAAAATTGGGTTCCAATATAAATTTTATTTTATAAATCAAATTAAATTTATATAGCGAAAGAAAATTTTACGACATTATATAAAACAACACTAAATGTGTGTAATAATAAAATATATTATAGCATTCGACTAATGCTATAATACAAAAATGCTATCGTAAGTAGGGGTCTACCATAGCATTCTAAAAACGCTATCGTATGTGGGGGTCTACCATAACAGGGGCATAAGACAACGTTTATGAAAACGCTATTAATGACATATAATAGCTCTTCTCTATTGCTAATAATGTAGATATTTCTTGTAGTGTTCGTGATCGCAGTCAAATGTTTAATTATTCACTACCGGAAATATTTTCGTCGACTTCATGCATTCCCAAGCCTCCACTTCTGCGCATTTTTCAAATTAGTTAGTTTATTCCATCAATAATTACATTGTTGCATTGTTAAACATGAGAAAACTGACCAGAGATTGAGACTACTACTATCAGAAGCAATATCACAAGGTACTCTTGCATTTCCTGTTAGACATACATCCTCTCCGTGTAGTACCCAATTTGTATAAGAACTTAAAAAGCCAAACCACATCAAATCACCTTCGATATCTTCTCTTGACTTAGTTTTGACGAGAGAACAACGGTTACATGGACATTTCATCATGTATGCTTTTGATTTACCAAAAGCAAAATCCAAGAAACTTTTCACCCCTAATATGTAATCTTGAGATAAACGTGGTTTGTTTATCCATGACTTATCCATCAAAACCTGAAATAATGATTTGTACAATCTGTAAACTTAAGAAATTCACAAAACATACATTAAATTTCAATACCTTTAGATCTAGGAATAAATCTATGTACCATGAGAACCAATAATCTAATTAAGAACCAGACACAGACTAAACTAAAACCAAATTGATGTATCAACAAAGATGTAGTATATATCAGAGTGTTTACTATCGAGGTGGATATATCCTTTGCTAAGTTCATGTATCTGTTTAACACAAATTAAAATTGTGTTATAAATTACAGAGAAATAAAACTAGGATAAAGGAGATGAATAGTGGCAATAGCTGATGACTGATCCTATAATCAATGATTCATCACAAAACTTACTTGATGATGAATGAAGCAATTTGCGTCCATAGGCATGACCAAAAGCTAACCGTAACCGTATTTCGGACCGTAACCGGACCGTTTTTCAACCGTAACCGGACCGTAACCGTATAAAACGGTTAAAAACCGTAACCGTTAACCATAAAAATAGATTAGTTACGGTTAAAAAATATACTAACCGTAACCGTTAATTAACCGTAAACGTATCAAAACCGTTAGTTAACCGTACGGTTAACCACACGGTTAACCGAATAATTAACCGTGCAGTTAAAACTTTAAATACATAATTATTCCACTATTAAATTTAATGAACTTCACTACTCCACTACTCCTTTTTCATAAATCAAATCATAAATAGTTTACATAGTTATTATTTATACTCAGGTACTCGTTTCTTAATTCTCACAACTTCCTTTCTATAGTATTGTTTGGAATAAGACAATAAGACAATAAGTCAATCTTTATAATTATGACCATTTATTTAGTTATTGTTGGTTTACTTAACAAAACAAAATAGCTAATTAACTATAAATATTATAAGCATATAATCACATATATTACATACTATAAAATAAATATTATTTGATATATTATCGTTAAAGTTTTCATTCTAAAGGTAAATAAAATTCCAAGCTTTTGTCTTTGATATTAACCGTATCGTAATAATTAAATTATTGTAACCGTATTTAACCGTAACCGTTGTAACCGTAACCGTATTTAACCTTAACCGTTTTAACCGTATATATAGTGGTTAAGGTTACGGTTAGAGAAAATTTATAACCATAACCGGTGGTTAATAAACCGTAACCGCAATAACCGTAACCGTGGTCATGCCTATGCGTCCAAAACCCAGAGAAAAAAGACCCTAGCTCTAATTAAAGCTTAGAAGCCTGATGATGATCTCAATTTATTTATTGATTTTTTTTAGGTTACCCTCTTTAAAAAAATAAATAAATAAATATATATATATATATATATATAATTTATTTAAATATCATTTTTTATTGATGTAAATTTTGTATCATTTTAAAAAGTGTTTTCACCAATTTTTTTTTATAGATACATCAGTTATCTAAATGATGTAAATCTATATTTTAAATCAGTTTTTTTTTTTAAAGTGATACAAACTAATTAATAGAAATTGAATATTTTATTTATTCGATGTCAAACTAGTTAATTATAACATTAGTTAATAATATAATCGATGCTAAACCATATATATTTGCTTTATTTATAAAACAATAGTTTAAAATAACATCATTTCGTTTTGTATACAATTTAAATGATACAATACACTCATTTTTTTTGTAGTGTTAACTACTTCATTCGTTTTTTTTTTATTGAAACTATTAACCTAATATAAATGACTTATGAATGCATCTTGTATGTCACAGTAATTATGTGAATCTTCCTTGTATATGGATAGAAGTAGAACTTTATTTGGATGAAACTTCCCCATGAAATGGGCTTTACGTCTAGAGTAAATAGATCTCTTAGCGTTATAGGCCCAACTTTCCTTTATATAAATTTATTATCTTAGGAGTTTAAAAACCGACCTTAGCTCAGTTGGTAGAGCGGAAGACTGTAGTAGCTGCTGTAATCTTTAGGTCGCTGGTTCGATTCCGGCAGGTCGGATTTTTTTGGAAATCAGTTTTTTTTTTTCTTGTCACGTTATACAAATAACTTACTTTAATTTTTTTTTTTCACAAAAAAAAAAAAATAATATTGTGCAGTACTTTCCTTTCCTCTGCATGGACAAATTGCTTTCTGGATAAAATTCATTTTTTTCTGTGGTAGTGAAACTGTTTGTCGTTTTTGGTATATATATTTATATTTTTATTAAAGACTTTTGGTATAGTATAGGCAATTACACAGTGTAGTCAGTCCCTTGATAAATAAGTTTAGTGACACTGAATATGCACTCACATGCCATGGAGGAAATAAATGTTTTAAAATTCATTTAAAAAGATATACAAATTTTAAATTAATCTCTATGAACAACTTGAGAATTAATTACATATGGTGGATAAACAAAAGCGATATATAAACTACGAAACTCAGATTCTGGTTCTTTATAGATTTGCCACCAGAAAAGGGGTCACATTAATTAATATCTTAATGAATAATATAAATTTTGTTTTTGGCTAAGGATACATTTTTTTCTTCTTAGAATAACATTATAACAAGAATTTCATCAACTGAATTCATGTGTTAGTTTGTTTGCAGTAAAGCTCCATAATCTATAAACCTAAGTTCAAATCATAGATAGAAGAAAACAGTCCATAGATTTTTAAAGGCCCACTTATACATTTTATGTAAAAGAAAGTTTACTCTTGTGCCTCATGAGGTCCAATCATTTCTCTATACAAAAGGAAAAATTATAGTATTAAATTATGAATCAAATAACTCAAAAACGATATCTGTAGTATTACTAATTTATAAAGTGTTTTTTTTTTTTGGCGTGATATTTTTGTGAAAAAGAGATGTATTTCTCATTTGTGGCTGAGCTCCAAAAAAGCTTTTAGCTTAATACTAGTTATGTTTTTTGAAATGTAATCCGGATAAATTAAAGCTACTAGAGGTTGAACAAAAATAAAATAAAGCTACTAGAGAAAAAATGGAATTGAGTTTTCGTTTGGTTAAAATAGTTTTTCAGTAATACTAAAAGTCTAAAACTATCTAATCACACTGGAAAAACAAAACAAAAAAACAAAAACCTAATTTAAAAAATTACAATATATTTAATAATTAATAAAGAAAAAAATTACAATATATTTTAGACAAATTAATGTATACTTAAATTGAAGCTGTATATATTAAACTAATTTACATAGAATTTGTTATACCAGAAACAAAAATACAAACCTAACAGAGATTACACAAATAGAACCATTAATTGCAAGTTTAAGTGATCGTATCGGTCTTCACGAATGAGTATGTGATTAATTGAAAATTTCAGGTTCAAGATATTTTGAAGACTATAACTCAAAATAATTAGGATCTAAATCGGTTGATAATATGAAATTAGACGTTAACTTTTATGGATAAGTGTGATTTATGTCTAAGAAGTTAGAACACGTAGACATATACACTTCATTATTTGCATAATGTTGATTGAAGCATCGAACGACACGTTATACTCATGAGCAATTATGAAGATGTCTTTTATGAAAAAAGAAGTGGGGCTTTAATTTTTGTTCAAAGTGTATCCAATAACAAAAATTAGAATTGAAATGAAACCACATATACATGCTTTTGGTTAGAAAGAGACAAGACATAAAGAAACACATTAACAAAGAGAAGTTGTGGAAGTATAGGCCATTTCTCAATCTCTTAGTGAAGAAGTAATGGTTTCTTCTATATTTTAAATTATGAATTGGAGAAGTAGCATGTTTTGGGTGGAAATAAGAAGGATGATACAGATTTTTTAAATTTCATTAATAGTATATATTTAATATCCTAAAGTGTTTTTATTTGGCACCATAGCCATACTTTGTACCAATCATTCAAGTCCTAAAAACTTTAGCAACAAAATTTATTTAAATATGGTGACACGCATTATTTTAAGAGATTAAATGGACATACAAAACTAATGGTGGGCTGCTTTATGACTCGAGTAAATAATTACAAATGGATGAAGATAGTGCATGAAGCTATTTTTTTACCAATGAAACAACAATGTGATAACTAATTTAATTATAACTTAGTGAAAATATCCCACACATACACGCAAGTATCTATCGAATTTGCATCTATCTATAAAGAAAATTTTGAGTCACTTACAACTTAATTACAATGATTTGATAAATTTGTGGTATTCTTATATGCAACCATTGTTGACAAGCTTCATATCGGCGATCCTTAATTCCTCTGATCATTGTTATCTGATTCTTAACTTGATATGAAGCATGCTTCCAAGCTTGGCTTCAAAGCCGATCCTAATTTCTTAGCCATTCCAAGTTGATTTTCAGCTTTCTGTTTAAATAATCTCAACTACTCGTCGCACTTGTTGTAAAAACGTTATTTTTTTTTAATATAATTTAACATTATATTCAAAAAAAAACCATTGTTGACAAGTAGTATATTTGTTTTTGTTTCCATAGTTAAAATTATTTCACTTTGTTGCTTCTAATATAACTACAACTACATGTAGAGTTAATATTTCTGCCTTTGCATAAAATTTCACTTTCACTGAAAAATGTATATTCCGTAACCAACAAATGGTAATATTAGAATTATAGAAAATAGATTGTTTTACATTGTTTCACAAGTGAAGCATGGCTTTTTAACTAACAAATCCTTTAGGAACTGCACACTTTCTATGACCAAATAGTATTTTATAAGAAAGTGAATTTGTTACTTGTTTGATTGGCATACTATAACAGAGTGAACCACAATTTTGAATTACCTATTAAAATTATATAATAATTAATTATACATTTATTTTTCCAAAAATATTCGGTTCAAAATCATTAGCTTCTCATCATCTGATTTTTCTTCTTCGAAATAACTTACTTCTAATCTTCTTTAAACTAGATATTTGTCCAAAAAAAAATATTTTAAAGTTTTAAATGTCAAACTTGTGAAAAGTAAATCACTAAACATTACAGCATTTGGTGTGATTGTTTTAGCATTGTTATTTACAAGTTTTATATGTTTTTTTGGTTTGTTAAAATATAAGTGTTTGTATTTTCACAAGTTTAGACATTTAATTTTAAAGGAAAAGTAAATCACTAAACTTGTGTTTAATCATAATGTCAAGTTATGGTATCATTTACACCGATATTGAGTTACAAATTTGCATATATTTTTTTTCTGCAATATATTTGATGATAAATATATCATTTTTTTCAAGTAGTCAAATGTAAATATTAGGACACAAGACTATGATTCATTTAAGGGTGAAAGATCAATTAACTTTTCTTGAATATAAGAACATAATAACTTTAATTCAATTGAAAAAGGAAAAAAAAAAAAAAAAGAATTGGTTCGTGGAAAAAGAAAGCAAATGCACTCAGTGACCCTCTTTATAAATACTCACATTGCAAAGTTACCTTCTCTCAAGCTAAAAAATAACACAAGAACAAGGAGAAAAAAACAGACTCACACACTCTTCTCTCTGTTTTTTTGTGCTCCACAAACTGAAAATCAATTTTTCTTGACGACAAATTTGTTTGATCTTCAAAGACGTTTAAAACCAAGTTACAAAGCTTTCTCCTTCTGATTCTACTGTTTTAAACGCCAATGGATTCGCTTAGTACTCAGAAGGCTAAACCAAGAAAGATGAAGGTTGTTGTGAAGAAGTCTCGGGCTCAAATACTCTTAGATTTGTTTTACCGGGTGATCGAGATAACCCTAGTTATGGTTACAGTAGCCAAGCTCTGTTACCAACTAGTTATCACGTTCGAGAGCTCTGGTCTCGCGGGTCTTCTCATCAACCGTCACCTTGCTTTCGTCTTGGGGAATGCGATAGTCATCGCTATAGTCTTCAAGTGCGGGTTCTTTGCGAATCAAGAAACTGATGCACGGAGAAATAGCAATGATTTTTACGACGAGTTTGTTCGGGAGAACTCAAGAGGAGAACGGAGTTCACACACCGATGTGATATGCAGAGAAAAACCGAGTGAAGTAGAGAGTGTGGCAAAACAGAGCATTGAAGAAAACAGAGCAAAACAGAGCATCGAAGATAAGAGACAAAGCAGAGCAAAACAGAGCATGTCCGAGAACAGGGCAAAACAGAGCACTGAAGAAAAGAGAGAGAAACAAAAGAAGACTGAGAACAGTGGTGAAGAGAGAGAGAAGGAGGACATAACTGTGAAGAGACACAGACAAATCATTGCTCAAAAGCAGGAAAGCCCAATGAAGAGTTACGAAAGGAGTCGGTCGGAGAATCAGGAGGGCTCGAAGAAGAGTACTTGTGGAAAACTGAAGAGATCGAAGACAGAGAGACCTGCTGATGAATTTGTTTCGGATGAGGAACTACGATACAAGATCGAGTCTTTCATTGCGAGACAGAGGAGGAACCAAAAGGATGAAGAGTAATTTTGTATCATCTACAATGTAAAATACTAAAAAAAAGCAAAGAAAAAAAAAAGAAAGAAAAACTTTGGTTTATGCAAAATAGCATTCACATATATATATTTGTGAGTGTTTGTATATATACGGGTAAAAATATTTCAATGCCCGAGCATAAAATCTTGTTTTAGCTTTTCTTTTTTTTTTTGTTTCTTTGTATAATTTTGTTCATCTTATATATATTATGAAGTATAAGTTTTCTGTAACTTTGTTCATCTAGTAAATGTAATGAAAAGAAGAAATCAACAAGAGTCTTTGTGAAGCAGGTCATATCCCCAGGAGTTCCAAATCTGAGGCCTCAAAGTTATCCATCTTTTTTTTCTCAGGGTTGATTTTTAAAATCTGTTTGTACCGTTAATACATTGGAGAGACAGAAGAAGTTATATAGTTTCCTGATTTGAGAGAGAGCAAAATAAGGTTTATATGAACGAGTTGTGATAGTGCTTACCGGGAACGGTTTGGGGGAGATTTGAAGCTGTTTTTGTATAGCCTTGACGCGAGCTTTATTAATACGGGCTTGTCCAATCACATAGATGAAATCACCAGCAACAAGATCTGTCAACGCAAGAAACCTCGCATATGGTTCATTCTTTTACTCCAGATTCAAGATCTAATAAAATGTATACATACCGCAAACATGAGCAATGATGCATGTCAAAAGAGAGTATGTAGTGATACTGAAAGGAATCTCGATACTCGCTTCTGTTGAGCTCTGGTAGATTTGACTAGAAAGTTCACCATTTGCCACATAGAACTGCCAACAATAACCAAAACTAAACCATTTTCAATTTTGTATATCTTGAAACGTTGAAATGATTTACAATGGAAATGTATAACAAGTTTTACGACTTGAACAAAACAGACGGTAAACGTGCTAACCTGTGCGAACGTCTGACAAGGAGATACCGACAACTTTAAATCTGAAGGATTACACGCCGAAAGCATGATTCTTTGATTATGAGGATTGTTCTTTATCTTGTTTATAACATCAGAGAGCTGACTGAATTTTTGAACAATTAGTTAAAGAAGCAAAACATATGAACAATCATTCAAAGACGAGATAACCACAAACCTAGCATCAGTATGTTTCCATTGGAGTCCATACAAGTGTTGGTGGTCTCCATCTTCTTCTGTGGCATTCACTCCGAAACTGGAACATAAGCATCAATGTGAGTTTGGTTTCAGTAAAACTACATTTTAAATTCTAAACTCTATGCTTGCCTGTTAAGATATTCATTAGCTTCATCGCTGTCCCATATATTACTACCCTTTTCCTGTAAGAACATTATGAGATATAATATGTCACACTCTCGGTTCTTTATCAATATATAACCAAAGAAAACATAATCTTGCACTCAAGGATTTTGGGCATGATCATTGTCATTCACTGTGTAGTATAGCACATAGGTCTCTTTTGGTTTTACCATGGGATTGATTGAACCACTGATAAGTTGAAGGATTTCCTCTACAACGCCTAGCCAGAATACTTTCTGCAGGACGATGGATACAAAAACCGACAAAATTAATCTCTATGATCAAATAAAGGTGAACTACTTGATATGAGATGTGAATAAAAGAAGACATGCCTTGGTTGTGAGAAGCGGGAAAGTCTTGCGCAGATTGAACCGCATCTGTAATGAATCAAATCAAGAGATAAGAACATGTAAGCTCAATTAAAGGAGAAAGATACTAACAAAGATGGAGCAAAGCTAACCTGACAGCCAAATTTGGTAAGAGTATTGTTGTCATTCATGTCTCCACTAGATATAATGTTTTGAATAAGATTTAAGTAACCAAACTCATCATGCCTCTCGAAAACCATCTTAGGCAAGAACGAGTACTCCTTGAAATCTGATCCAGCAGCACTTTTCTTCTCACCGGATCCAACAACGGCATCTTTTCTTCGGACATAAGTGTTGAAGCTATACCGAATTCCATTTTCCACAATTGGAAATGATGAGTACCACGGATGGTACAGAGAAGTATCTACCCTCGGTGCAAATGCGTCGCATGGCACGCTTATATCGATTTCGGTTAGGTGGATAGCATCACAGCTGGGTGCATTCATATAATTCCTATATAGAAACCACAACAATTAACCACATCTAGACATCAAACTTCAAAAATCTAAAGTCTCAAAGTTTATACTTTTTAGAAAAACCATGTGGAAAAAAGATGCAAACCTTAACAACTCGCCGCCTCCTATGACAAAGACCTTCTCAATGGACAAGGAATAAGGCTCGGTGGCTAGAAGTTCAAGAGCCGATTCCATGCTATCACACACCAACACATTCTCATCAATGGCAATGTTGTGGCAGCTAGACTTTGTCAAGACAATATTAAGTCGACCAGGAAGGGGACGAATCTCGAGAGGAGTCGATTCCCATGATTTTCTTCCCATTATAGTCGCATTCCTCCTCGTGGGATCGGTTGTCCTAGTTGTAACATCGTGGAAAAACTGAGAATCTGTAGGTAGATCCCAAGGAAGTTTCATGTCCATACCAAGACCCATGTCTCTTGTCGCCGCTATTACAACTTGGTAACTCCTCCTTGTAACTGAAACCGTGCTTTGGCCATTGATAAACATTGCCTCACCAGTAGCCATATTCTGAAACTTTAAAATCAACCAAGAATTCAATGACTGACAAAAAAACACAACTTCAATGGAAAAAGGAAGTTCTTGAAATCTATCACGATCTTGTTACAAGCTTTTTATTCAACTGCAAACTCTAAGAGAGATTAGAATTATGCAATAAAGAAACTTGAATGGATCCAAATCTGGAATCGAAGGAAGAAACTCAAATAGTCAGTCAACGGACAAGGAGGAGAAAAAAAATGTATCTAAGTCCATCTTAAACAATCTTGAAACTTGTGTTTACATTATAAACAACTTGAATTAGAAGTACTGAAATTTAAGAATTTTCAAAAAAAAGAGCAACGATTTTCCTAAAAGTTGCAAAACCTTCCTCGAAAACTCCACAAATAATTACAAAATAAAATTAATAATGCAATCTCTTACAAAGTCAATTCCTTCTTAAATTAAGATTAAAGAATGACTAGTGTAGAATGGTCCAAATGGATTTACAAGCTATAAACATTGATGTTAAAATATGGACAATTTTTTGACAAATCCCACTAGATCTAATTAAATGTAAGAAGTAAAATTTGTTAACTCTATGGAACAGACAAGCAAATTCGAGCTGCACTTTCTGCCAATATCCTATAGAAACAAGAGACCATTTGTTCTTCGTGTGCCCTTACTCCAAAAATGTGTGGCAGGAGCTCGCATCAGGGCTTCTCCTATCCCAGTTCACGGCAAATTGGAGGGATATACTCAAGCTGATCACCGATAAAACTCTTGACAAGACAAAGTCGTTTATGTTGCGATACATCTTCCAAAATACAATTCACTCCATTTGGAGAGAGAGGAATAATAAACGGCATGACAAAGAACCATCCCCAAGTGAGAAGCTAGTACAAATGATTGACAAAAACATTCGAAACTGGTTAAGCACAATTAGGAGTGGAGGAGATTTGAATTATGCATGAGGCATTCAAGATTGGTTTGCATCAAGGCGAAATTAAGGAGTTTTATGTGCGTTGTATTCTTTTTATAAAAACAGTATGCATTAAGTTGTAAAACCGGTTTATTTTTTTCTTGAATATAATTTAACATTAAATTTAAAAAAAGAATATATATATATATAATACCATGATTTTTAGGTTGATAGTATGCAATTTCATGGAGTACCACAAGTGGAATAAGTTCAAGTTGATTAATGACACTTAAAAAAACTATGAGGCCGATCGAGATAGTCTCTCACATTTTAGGCCCAAATTTTGGTAAGTTAACCCTTGAATTTTTTTTTCCTCATCAAATTGTAGTATTGAATAGTGTGACTGGTGGAAGCCCTCCTTGATCCATTGGTTGACTAAGGGTTGATTAATGTTTCTACACTAAGAGGTCTGGGGTTCGAGTCCCAGATATTGCGATTTATTATCAAATTTGCAGATTAATGGAGGCAAGTGTGCAATAGATCTCCAGCGATGTACAATTATACCAGTGCGCCAAGATTCTACGCAGAGAAAGAAGTGTCGTCAGGTCGTGGATCATTGAAGGTATTCATCAAGATCATGAAGAATGAAGTGTAGTCTGTAGTGGATCTATTAAGGGTCGGCATAAATTGTCAGTTGTGGAATCTTTTATGTAACAGTTATCATAATTTGCAATTAATAATAAATCTAGATGACAAAAAAAAAAAAGAATAGTGTGACTATATGCAATTAATAGCGTAAGGTAAATTATTTAAATTTGATTAGTAGATCAACCACATAAAGTATTTGTTGAACTCACTGTATCAAGGTTAATTTTTCTTAATTCAGAGGTTTTTTTCGTAATTGAGAAATTTTTAGTATTATTTTACAAAAATGTTACTTTATTTAACAAAAAAAAGAATACACATTTTTTTTTAAATAAGTAGTCTACTCTTTTGGAATATTGCTCTCTTAGAAGAGATCTTTGATCCAGAAGATATCGCCATCATAAGTGCCCTACATGTGGGTGCACCAACTAAGGAGGATACACTAGGTTGGCATTTTACAAAATCCGGAAAATATACAGTCAAATCGGGGTATCATACCGCACGGTTAGGAAATTCGGAGACAAAATTATCATTGATTGGACCAGACATCAAACCGTTAAAAGCACATTCTTGGCAAGTGCATTGTCCACCTAAGATACGTCATTTCTTATGGCAAATTTTAACGGGTTGTGTACCAGTTACGGAAAATTTGCGGAGAAGGGGAATTGAATGTGATATTGGTTGTGCTAGATGTGGCGAACTAGTGGAAACAATCAATCATACACTCTTTCAGTGCCACCCGGCACGACAGGTTTGGGCACTCTCTCAGATTCCTACAACAATAGGAATTTTTCCAACGGAGTCTATTTTTGCAAATTTGGACCATTTATTTTGGAGAGTACCTTCGGAATTTGACTGTTCAGCCTTTCCATGGATTATATGGTATATATGGAAAGCAAGGAATGAAAAAATATTTGAAAACATTGATAAAGATCCGTTAGAGGTATTACGGTAAGCGGAAAAAGAAGCACAATTATGGCAGTCAGCCCAAATTGAGCTTCATCATGAAACTCATGGTACTGCGGAATTGGTTAATCGTTCTCGAGTGGGGAATACTTCACTTGACTCGAATTATTCTGGATACCGTTGCTTTGTAGATGGATCGTGGAAAGAAAGTGATAAGTTCTCCGGTACAGGATGGTTCTGTACATCATCAAACGGAGAGCCGCCAACCATGGGAGCTGCAAATCTCCGTCGAAGTTTATCTCCATTACATACCGAGTTCGAGGCCCTTCTCTGGGCGATGAAGTGTATGATTGGTGCAGATAATCAAGAGGTAGAGTTCCTTACAGACTGTTCTGATCTGGTGAAGATGGTGTCTTCTCCAACCGAATGGCCGGCGTTTTCAGTGTACTTGGAGGAATTCCAGAGCGACAAGGAAGAATTTTCATCCTTCTCTTTATCTTTAATTTCTCGCAATGCTAATGTAAAAGCGGATCATCTGGCACGAAAAATTCGTACAGAACCGCTTCATATCACATTTGTAAACAATATTCCTCAGGAATGGCTCTTTTGAGCTCTAATTAATTTCGGATGACAAAAAAAAAAAAAAAAAAAGTCTACTCTTATCATTAATGTGTATATTATAAAGTCAATTAATATGGGAGCTGGAAGCTTGGGGTCATTCATGATGGTCGGTCGGTCCATATATCAAAATATAAATACCGTTTATTGCATTTCGCTGGAAGAAATAAATGATACTACTAACTTATTGACATGCTAGAAGAAAAAATTAATGATAACTGTTAAATTTTATCAATTCTCTTAATTTATTTGGGAAAGCCAAAAGCCATCGGCCATGCCGTTCATAATTATATTGTCGGAAATAAAAAATTTTAATTAACAATTTCAAAGTAAGAAAACCAGCTCTCTTCCTAATCATTAAAGAGTTATACTCCCTATGTTTCAAAATATAATACGTTTTAGCTAAAAGCACGATGATTAAGAATATTTACTTTTTAAAAGTTCAGCAAATCATAAAAGAGACTGCATAATAAAAATAATCATAAAATATTAAAAGTAATATATAATTGAGAGATTGACACAAATAGCCCCAAAAAAGTTGTTTTTTCCAAAAATAGCACTTCATTTGAAAAGTTTCATAAATAGCACCATAAACTTCAATTTAAGTTAATGAAAATATAAGATAGAAAATAAAAAAGAGAGCAAACACTAATCTAATATTAAATTGAATCAAAATTGTTTTTAAATAGTGGAAATATATATCCTAATTTGAAAATAGGGAACCCAAATATAATACCACAAACTAATATTAAAATAAAAATCTTTTTTAAATGGTGGAAATATATACCCTAAATTGGAAATAGGGAACCCAAATATAATACCATAAACTAATATTAAAATGAATCAAAATCTCTTTTAAATGGTGGAAATATATACCCTAAATTGGAAATAGAGAACCCAAATATAATATTTTAAATTTATTTCTAATTTATTTTGTTGAATAGCTTTTATATTAAAATTGTGGTATTATTGAAAAAATAAACTAGTGATAAAAGTTTTAGAACAAAAACACTAATAGTAAGTTAACTAGTGCTATTTTTGGAAGTTTATGGAGTTTGTGCTATTATTGTCAATAAAACTTGTTTTAGGGCTATTTTTAGGAATTTCTCTATATAATTTGCATAAAAACTTGAGAACGACTTATATTTTGAAACAAAAAAAGTTTTTCCAAAACGCTTTATATTTTGATACGGAGGGAGTAGTTAAAAAAATTGTATCATAAAACATACTCCCTCCGTTTCGTTTTAGTTGTCGTTTTAGGACTTAAATTTTGTTTCGTAATAGTTGTCGTTTTAGGTTTTCAATGCAAATGTTTGGTAAAAATTCCAGTATTATCCCTATTGTTTTAATGTTTTGGCCAATGAAAAAATTTATAAGATATATTAATAAAGGGTAAACAGAAAATTTAATGCTTTCCTTAATTTGTGTGAGAAAACCTTAAACGACAACTAAAACGAAACGGAAGGAGTATCAAAATCTATATTTTAGTCTAAGATTGTTTTTTTTTTAATTTTGTACTACATAATAATTAAAGCTAGTAAAATACTCCTTCCGTCCCACAAAAATAAATTTTGTAAAAATTTCACATTCTTTAAGAAATAATGTATAATGAAAATTTTAACCTTTTAACATTGTAACACATTTTAATAAATATATTATTTATTGTTATTTAATAAGGGTAAAATAGGTAAACTGTTTTAAATTTTACATTGGAAAAACAAAACTTTTATCTATGTGGGACAAATTTTTTTTCCAAAAAATCCATCTTCGTGGAACGGAGGGAGTAGTAGTATTAACTTCAAAAATCTATTACTAAAAGCTATTTAAAAAATTGAATGACTAGTAGTTCATACATATAATTTTTGACAGCTACTTTTAGTTCATAATAATTGTAAAAATATTTAGGATGGAAAACGAATTTGGGTACCATTAGGAAAATAAAAATTTGAAGAGTAATAATAATGTTTTCTCTTCCATTTACAAAAATATCTTACCAGAAAAACGGCAAAACACGCGCCTTTCTTCTCCTTACAAAAATGGCTTCTTCTCTTTCTCTCTCTCTCTTACAAGTTACAATGTAAAGGTCAAACCTTTTTCCAATTAGAACCCTTTTATTGGATTAAGCTAAAACTCTCTCTCTCTCTCTCTCTTTGGATTTTCAAAACAAAGGTAAAACCTTTTTTTATCAATACCCTTATAAGCTTTATGTCTCTCTCTTTTAGATTTGTTTCTCTGAGATTTCGCATTCTAAATCTGGAGCCGTCCTTTATTTTGAGGGGTAAGAGAGACTCAGAGAAAGAGAAAGAGATTTATATACACCTCTCTTTCTCTCTTCTTTCTCCTTTCCTTAGCTTTTGATCCTTAATTATTAGGTAAATCAAGAACCATCTTCTTTTATATCTTTTCTTCTTCTTCATTAGTTTCCACCAACCTCAATCGCTAAATGTTTCAATATTCCGATTGTTTCCAACCTCCCTGATTTTTCATTTCTGTTTCTTGTTCAAAAATGTGGGTTCGATTCTTATTTCTTTTCAGATGATGTCTTTGATTGTTTCAGATAATCTTTTTTGTTATGTATGCGTAAAACCTGTTTTATCAAATGTCTTAACGGGTGTCTCTGATTATTGTTTCATCGATTGATTGTTCGCCAAGGAAACTCTCTGTATTCAATAGCTCTCTAAAACTGAACCCTTTTTTTTTTATGTGTATCTCTTATTACATTAGATTGGATTCTGCAGTTTTCTATGAATTTATTTTAACCGGTTTTTATGTGACAACAGAAAGCTTAAATCCAGACTATAAAGCATGACGGATACAATGTCTACTCATATGGATCGACATAATAAGCTAGGTAAGGAGAGGAAGCTTTCTGCAATGGAGGAGACTTTTAAGCAAAGATTCTAAAAGTTTAAGGTTTTTGTTTTGCAGATTATGATGGCTCGGAGGATGAAAAGAAGACAAAGCTTTGTTCCTTGAAGAAGAAAGCAATCAATGCCTCCAACAAATTCAAACACTCTTTCACCAAGAGAACTCGAAGGAACAGCCGAGTCATGTCTGTCTCTATCGTTGACGACATTGATCTTGAAGAGCTTCAAGCTGTTGACGCTTTCCGTCAAGCTCTTATCTTGGACGAGCTCCTTCCTTCGAAACACGATGATCATCACATGATGCTTAGGTTTTTGAGGGCAAGGAAGTTTGATCTTGAGAAAGCAAAGCAAATGTGGACTGATATGATCCATTGGAGGAAAGAGTTTGGTGTTGACACAATCATGGAGGTGCAAAACATTTTAAGATCATCTTCTTTATCTATCCCTTTTGCTTCTCCTTGATTAAAGTCTGATTTTTTCTCATCTTCTTCTTTGAAAGGACTTTGATTTCAAGGAAATAGACGAAGTCCTCAAGTACTATCCTCAAGGTTACCATGGTGTTGACAAAGAGGGAAGGCCTGTTTACATAGAGAGGCTAGGCCAAGTGGATGCCACAAAGCTGATGCAAGTCACTACCATCGATAGGTATGTCAAGTACCATGTGAGAGAGTTTGAGAAGACTTTCAATATCAAATTACCAGCTTGCTCCATTGCTGCCAAGAAGCATATTGATCAGAGCACCACCATCTTGGATGTGCAAGGCGTGGTATGCTCTCTAGTCTTTTACCACCTTTGTTTTGGTTATTCAGATCAAAGAAAAAGAGAGAATGAGCGAGTGATTTTTCTGGTGTTGTTTCTAGGGGTTGAAGAACTTCAGTAAGGCTGCAAGGGATCTTCTTCAGCGTATCCAGAAGATCGATAGCGACAACTACCCTGAGGTTACTATGATGTTTCTTAATGGTTATAAAGTAGTTTGTTATCACACTATCAACTCAAGACAGTACTGAGAATTGTTTTGTGTTTATGGATCATATATAGACATTGAACCGTATGTTCATTATCAACGCTGGTTCTGGATTCAGGCTTCTGTGGAGCACTGTGAAATCTTTCCTTGACCCAAAGACCACCGCAAAGATCCACGTAAGCTTTTTTTACGTTTTGTGTCACTCTTTTAAGGTCTACGGTTATCAGAAATCTCATGTCCTTCATGTACAGGTTCTTGGCAACAAATATCAAAGCAAGCTTCTTGAGATTATCGACTCCAAGTAAGAGTGAAACAGAGCTCTCCATAACTCTGAATTTTAGCTACAAATTCATAATCTGAAAACTATCTGTTTTTTTTTTTTTTTTGTGTTTAGTGAACTTCCTGAGTTCTTGGGTGGTAACTGCACTTGTGCAGACAAAGGTGGGTGTATGCGTTCAGACAAAGGTCCATGGAACGACCCTGACATCTTCAAGGTACTTTATAAGATTATAGACAATCTTAACGAAACAATGAACTGAAATGCAGAATCTTAAACTATGTATAGATGGTTCAAAACGGAGAAGGGAAGTGCCCAAGGAAGACATTGTCAAACATTGAAGAGAAGACAATCTCAGTGGACGAGAACACAACAATGGTAAAAACAAAACTCAATAAATATATTTGATCTTTGATAATATCTAACATTCTCTTATGTTTTTTTTTTTTGCTTGAAGAAATGTGATTCCTTTGCGGTGAGTTTCTCTTTGTCTAAGGTTACTTCTTTAGCTCTCTCTTTCTCTCTAGATTTTCTGTTTGACTGATTTTAATATCCTATTTGCAGAAGAACAATTTCGATGCAGAGAACGCGAAATTCATACCGATGATTGACAAAACTGTGAATGCTACTACTTGGCCTACAAATCTCCACAAGTCAAACTATCCCGAACCTGAAGGTAAACTAAACAGAAACATTGATTCTTAACTAAACCGGGTTTTTGTAAACCATTTATTCGTTTTGAAAACATGATTCCGTTATTTTTTACCATTCCAAACATTCATCATATTTTCACGTTTTGAAAACATGATTCCGTTATTTTTTACCATTCCAAACATTCATCATATTTTCACGTTTTGAAAACATGATTCCGTTATTTTTTACCATTCCAAACATTCTATCATATTTTCACGTTTTTGAAAAGTGATTCCGCTATATTCTTCAACTATACATACCACTCATTTCCTATATATTTGTTTTTGCTGGCGCAGATTTATACTCTGCCGTGAAGCCATCGCAGAGGAGAGGAGGAGAAGGATATTTATTCGGCGGCGTGATGTCGTTGATGATGGGGTTAATGACCGTGGTGAGGCTGACGAAAAACATGCCAAGGAAGCTCACTGATGCCGCCATTTACGGTGGCGAAGCGGAGAAAGCAGAGACTACAATGGTGTCAAACCAAGAGTATATGTCGATGGTGAAGAGAATGGCGGAGCTGGAGGAGAAATGTAGGTCTTTGGACAATCAGCCGGCAGCCTTCTCGCCGGAGAAAGAACAGATTCTCACCGCCGCTCTTAGCCGTGTCGACGAGCTTGAGCTTCAGTTGGCTCAGACCAAAAAGGTACCAGTTAAAGAGCTTCCATGACTAGTTTCTTATTTTAAATTTTATTTCTTATGATTTAAAATCTTTTTTTTTTAACAAAGATTAATTAAAGAAATCATTAGAAAATAAACTTTTGAAAAATATCTTAATTAAAAAAATAGGCTACATCTTTATAAATTTAATAAATAAACCATTAGTTGATGTTTATAATTAAAGATTTTAGAGATTTCATGGTTTAGTTTTTGGAATTTATATTTTCAGATTTCGGATTTAAGACTTTAGGGTTTAGAAGTGGGAATTTAGGCTACTTTGTTAATTTATAAAAGTTTAAACTATTTTATTTGTTGTAAGATTTAGACCACTTTTATAAATCTTTTGTTTTGGGTATGAAATCAATTATAATTTGTTAAAAAATATCAGACGCTGGAGGAAACCATGGCTACGCAGCATGAGATAATGGCTTATATCGACAAGAAGAAAAAGAAGAAGAAGGTAACAACAAACTAACACTTTTAAATCACTCTTTTTTAAGATTATTCAAATTTGATTTAATTTTACGTATTTATATATATTTTGGTTTTGTTTTCAGTTCTTCGGATTCTGAAAGACATGATAATGCATGCCTCAAGACTTTGAAGAAACCTGGAAATATATAATTATTATACATAAACATAAATATATTCGTGAAGAGTTTTTAAAGATAAAAATGTGGAAATTTGCTTTCTGTAAATTTTTTGTTATTTGTTCCTGGAAATATCTGAAAGCTTATGTCTACCACTTATCATTCTTTCACACCTAATTTGTAACGTACTAAAAACAAAAATATATATGTTATAAATTATATATATTGTTATATAATATTACCCAATAAATCAACAATGCTGCAAACCAACTTAGAATTTCAGCAAAAACCGGTAAAGAGAAGCCATTTCCCAGGTTTTGTGTTACTCTGTGGTTGGTTTCTCTGTGGATTCTTCCCTATCTTGGAGCTTGAAAACACGGAAAATCGCTAGATTTGTGTCTCCTGCAAGTCACACAAAGAGTTGAACTCATTGATCGGTCCACCACATTCACAAAGAGATAGAAAAACATACAAAAAGACTGGTGTACCAAAGGTGATTCGGGTTCCGGGAAAGGCAGGAGCAGCAACACCAGGAATTAAACGTTTGTCTTCGATGAATGTACCGTTGGTGCTGTTCATATCCGTCACAAGAAGGTTGTTTTCATTGGTATTGATTGTCGCATGGACTCCCGACACTGCAGTTAAAAGACTAGGAGTGTCGGATTTAACAAGACGGATCCAATCCAAACTAAAGCAATAAACAAACAATCTACAATCGAAAATCTAGTACCGAATCCGAACCTAACTAAAACCAATGATAGATTTGATTATAACTCGAACTCAACCTCAAACCAAAACTATATCAAACTGATTCATATTAAAACCAAATTCACTTTGATCACAACTTCAAAAAAAAAAACCGAAACAAGACAGAGAAATACCGGTGGCCACAGGAATTACGACATCAGCCTTTTCCGGTAGCCGTCCGATGGTAACTTGTCCCTGCTCAAAACCCATTCTAGTGAGCTTTAGAAAAAACTCATCAAAGTAAATCTATCTACTGGAATGTATATTTTCTTACCGAGGTGATCTCGAAAGGAGCAGGCATTGCCACTTTGTAACCAATGTGTCTTGTGTCTCCATCGCCTGCAAGTTTTTATAGATTAGAACTTTAACACTCAAAAAGATTAAATAATCTCAGTGATATTAAAGCTAAAGAAAGAAACAAATAGCTTCTGACCAACTGGTTGGAGAAGCCACCGTTCTCCTCCGGGAGTTGGGGACTGATTCTCATCCGAGGAGGCGCGTGTTTTTCTCACCACTGGCGCGTGACTTCTCTGTTTCTTCGCAGTGAAGCTAATATAACTGATCTGATCAATCTCTTTCAAGCAATTTACTGAAACAGCTCCATTTAGGTTGTTCCTCTTACTGTTTCCATTTAAACACAACAGTGATGATGAAAACTTAACTCGAGAGCACAATTGAGATATTGTTATCTCCATTTTCTCTTCATAAAAAGTACTGAGAAAAAAACTGATTGATCTTAGAAAAACAAAAGATGAAGTAATGAAAAATGGAAAAACTTTTGAGAAACGTTAAGAGATAATCACTATATGGATATGTGGCTACAATATCTTGTATCTGGATAAAACCAAAATCCTAAAAAAAAAAAACAGAATCTTGATTAATAATTTCGATACTTTGTTTTTTTTTTGTTTTGCATTAACAAGTTTAACGTTACAGATTTTATATGATTATAAAAATAAACATATATAATATAAAGCGGCTCATACTCAAAGAAGGAAACAGAGCTCTCTGTATTAGCTTTAACATCAAGTCAAATGAAAGAGTTTTTGTTTTGTTTGTTGTTTATACTTAAAGAACAGCAAACTAATTAAGAACTGTGTTGTGTAGGAGAGGGGAGAGAGATTTTGATGCCTGGTGATGGTTTTTTGCTTTAAAAGCAAAAGAGATGTTTCTTGTTTTTCTTCTTCTTCATCTTTTGGAATTGAGCTTCTTCTTGACGATCAATGTACGCAAGTAACTCTTCTTGTCTCATCAAGGCTTCGTAAAGCGCTTTTTTAGTAGCTATGAGCTCTGCTTCAAGTGCGTCTACTCTGCAAACCGCTGCGTTTAACAGTTCTTCTTTCTCGTATGGCATCTCATTCGGCTTTGATTGGAGAGTTCCGATTTTACCTTCAAGCTCTGTCAGTTTTTTCGTCACACAATTTAGGAGATCGGTTTCCGTGAGGTCTGGTACTGGAGAAGGAGGACGACACTCCTCTTTAACTCCTTCACCATTAGAACCAAGTTCTGTTGCGTTTCCTTGGGTTACTAGTGGGGAAGTAGTAGTCGCTGGAAGTTTCTTGGTCACACGGTAAGATACTGTGCGAAAGAATGTGAAAACCGCCATCAAGAATGCCATGAACATTACTAGGACTCGAGCCTTGATGCCTTCAGGATCCTTTGGAATGGTGGGAGACATTAAAGCTCCTGAAGGAGACAGATCGATAGAATTAAGATCACCGAACAAAGATATCCGAAAAAGCTCTGTTTTTTATAACACAACTTCAAAAAAATCCTAATAAGAATATATAATCCTATGTGAACAAGGAACCAATATACTGTATATGATATTATCAAATCCTAATAAGATGTGTTTTCACAAAATTTCAATCATTTTCCTTCAGTATTTGGTTCTAAACCGGAGCCTACTTGTACAAAAAGCATATAACAGCTAACTAACCTCTTGAGGCCACTCTCTGGATGGCGGGTTTCACCTTCCAGGTTGCATCGACGGCTTTGTCAACCATTGGAACATACTCATCATAACCCGGATAACTACCAGCCAAGCTTGTTTCACCAGCTATCTTTGCCTGCAAAGTCTCAGGATAAACATCTGCAGAATTTGAAAATATAACTAGAAGATAGAAAGTAAAAAAAAGTTTACCTCCTCACGAACAGGTGTCAAGCGGAGATGAGAGAAACTCTTTATAGCCTTTGGAGAACCGATATCTTCAGCGTCAGATCCTGACTCTGCAGTGGAAGTGTCACTTCCCTTTATCTGTGTTTATGACACAGCCAGTGTTTAGGCACAATATGGTCAGCTACAAGTAAAGATTGACTAGTTATATGATTTAATAACTACATACCCATGGATATGAAGGTTTTGCATAAGCAATGACTTTCCCTTCACTGTTCAACACTTTCACCACCTGTCTCGCTCGATGTGCTCCTCCATGAAGCACCATCTGAAATTATGTGAAGGAAACCAAATGTCTCAGATTCCAACCTGGTATGATGATCTATATAAAATCCTAGGCAAAAAGAGATGAGTCGATTAAACGACCTTCACAATTTCCGGGTTTTTCCAAGGTCCCTTGTCAGAAAGCATGCAACCACCTTGATCTGAGCAAGTACATGCACCTCCCAAGAACTCAGGCAACTCGCTGTAAAAAAAATGCAGACCATTTTCAACATAAGCAAACAAAACGATCAGCTTTCGATAGAACAGATCAAACAAGGGTCAAGGTTCACATACTTGACATCAATGACTTCAAGCAATTTGCTCAGATACTTGTATCCGAGGACCTACATAACAATAGAATAGTCTCAGATTGAATTCTATATAATTGAAGACAAGTCTTTTAAATAAAAAGCTATAACCATATAACTTAGATCTCTCATACATGAATCTTAGCAGATGTTTTTGGGTCTAAAAAGCTCTTCACAGTGTTCCAGAGTAGCCTAAATCCAGGCCCTGCATTGATAATAAACATTTGGTGGAGAGTCTGCATGAAATACCACAAAGCCAAGATTAGCATTTGATACCTGACGTCCCATTCACAGTAATAGAAGCTCCAATTAACTAATACCTCAGGATAATTGTCTCCATCAATCTTTTGTAATCGCGTGATAAGATCTCGAGCAGACTTGGTAAAGTTTTTCAATCCCTGAATATGAAATTATATAAATACATGAGAAACAACTCATCTCACAACTGATATCAGGAATTATAGAAAATACTTACCACTCCCTGAACATCAAGAATAGTTGTACTCGAATCGATATGCCTCTTTGCAGCAATTGTGCAGGAAGGAAACTTGATCATAAAGCTCCTTTCGAACTCCTTTACATGATATCTTACGTATCGATCCATGCTTGTAACTTGCATGAGTCTGTTAGGATCAACTTTCCCTAGCCTTTCAATGTAAATAGGTCTGCCTTCTTTGTCAACACCGTGATAACATTGCGGGTAATGTTTCAAAACTTCATTAATCTCTTCGAAATCAAAATCCTGTCGACACGAATAAAACGTTACAAAAACATAATCAACAACAACGGTTAACACTATCTTCTGTTTAAAAGTATAGCAAACCTGAATAATAGTGTCAGTACCAAAGTCCTTCCTCCATTGAATCATATCAGCCCACATTTGCTTAGCTTTCTCAATATCAAATTTCCTCGCTTTCAAGAACCTCAACATCATGTGATAGTCATCGTGTCTCTCCGGAAGCAACTCGTCCATTAACAACGATTGTCGAAACGCGTCAACAGCCTGTAGCTCCTCGACATCCCGCACATCCTCAATGGAGACAGAACTCACTCGACCGTCACTTTTTCTTCTTCCGCTCTTTTTCTTAAGAGAATGCTTGAACTTAGTGGATGCATTGATGGCTTTCTTTTTCAATGAACCGATTCTTGTTCTCCTCTCATCCTCAGAATTCTCAAAATCTGATTTTCTTTCCTTTTTCTCATCACTGCTCAAGAATCCTTCAAAACCTGTAGTGAAAGCTGTTTGGATTTGATGAAACTTATAATAAACTAATGCATTTAGCTCAACGAAACCATATACAAGAATCTAAATTCCCATTACTTTACCAGCTCCAAAGTTTTCAGCTCAAGAACATAAATTGAACACACGACAAAGCAAAAAGACACAATTTTTCGATTCTCATTATGATATTAGACCTCAAAGTTGTTTCATTTCGAAGTTTATGCTACAGTAAACCCTAGAAAAAAGCTTACCCAGAAACAACAAGATTACAGAGAAAGAACTTTAAAGATTTAAGACAATAACGAAGATGAGATCTCTTACATGGTCTTGCAAATCGATCAAGTGGACCTGACATGTTATATTCCTTTCAACTAAAAATCGGAAAAAATCTTGTGATTCCTTGGATCTTTCCCAAATCTTTCGAGAAGATGGCTGAACCACGAATCAACAAAAAAAAAAAAAAAAAAAACCCTTTTTTTCTTGAGAATCTATCTACTTCTCACATTTACAAGAAACCCAGAAAAATCGCCAACGAAATTTTTTTAAGGAGAGAGAAAGAAAACAAATTGAGAGAGACAAAAGTGGGAGTTTAGAATTCGGACCGAACTAAATGGGACTTTCTCAGTTTCTTCTCACCTAAAATGGGAGTATATTTTTGTTATAGAAGTTTGTATTTGCACCGTTATTTAATGAGACCCCAACTGTTACATTCGTTTTTATTTGTGAGCCCCACACTTTTTTGTCTTTCAATTTACCCCCCCAAATTGACGGTGGTACAGTATTTTTGTGGCAGGATTTTAATGTGGAAATTAAATTACACCTAGAACATGATACTATTGTTTTTCCAAATTATTTTATCAAGATGAAATAAAATGGTATAATGTGTTCTTTTTTCGGGTAAGCTTATGTTGCTTAATCATTCTGTATTGATTAGATTTTGATAATATGATCTGACAAAAGAAAACTATGAATATTTCATACAATTAATTTAGTCAAAAATGAGATATTATCTTTGATAGAAAACAAAATTTGGTTTTAAGGAAATTGCGGTTAATTCTGTCATTAAACTAGTTTTTGTTCAAATATGTAAAAGAAGCATAATGATGGGGTTTATTTAGACATGCTAGAAATAATTAAATAAGGAGAAACCGAGAAAATGAAGAGATAGTTGGTCTAACCATCATCAACAAAAAACGATCAGACGGTCATTAATGGGTATAGGTAAAAAGTTTTAATAGATATGGATAGTAGACCATTAAACCAATCAGAATTTAAAAACATATTCCAATAATTTAATTTTAAAAAAATCCAACTAAGAGAATTCAGCCAACAAAACGACAAACAACACTATTAAATTGCTTATTTTTTGGAAAAAAAGACGACAAAAATATTCTTTACAATATGACCCCACTTAATTTTGGATCAATTATAACTATTGCCAAAAAAAAATTGGATTTCAACTATTTTGCAAATATTATTTTGGAAAATTTTACTCCACTTTGATTAATTCCATAGGTTAAGAACTTAAGTTCTTGGATAAAACAATGAATGTGTTCGGTAATTCAATATGATTAGTGAGTTAAGTTTATTTATTATAAATATTAATTCATAAAAGATACATAGAGTAAAGCCTACGATAAATTGGAATAAATTCTCTTTTTTTTAAAGTTCTCCGTCATCAAATCATAAGTTGTTTTTTGTGGTTTTTATTTAATTTTTTTAATACAAAAACGGGTTTGATTTTTAGAAAAAATGTATAGAGCTTGTCTACATGAGCATGGGTTATTTTGACAACTAGAAAATGTTAGGCAGCAAAATGTGAATTGTTCATTAAATAAGGGAGCAAAGTATAATTTTTCATTGCCCGTACCGTGGGCCCATACAACACGTGGCGAATACCGGAGGATTGATTACAAGATTAGAAGAAAATCAAATAAATACGGAGCAATTAGAGGGAGGGTCAACGGTCGTTAGGCCTTCCCATTTTCTAGGTTGAATATTTATTATTTTAATTGTTTTACTTTCACAAAATATATCCATTTTTATTTTATAGAAATCAACAGAGAATAAATTTATGGGTCAACAAAATATTAAACCACAGACGAAAAAATATTGCAAGATCTGGCATTGAAGATTAATTAATTAATTCTCTTTCATCTGACTCAAACTAATGTCCAAAATACCCTTCTTCATATTTATACGGTAACAAAAAAAATATCAACATAAATCAACACGAAGAAAGAGTCAGTTACAACATAATAGTGTTGGGTATGTTTCTTAAATTGGGCTTTTGTGAATAAATAAATGGGCTTCATTGCCCAAGTTTATTTTGACGTTTTGAGAAATTGTATTTTGACGAAACTCTTCTTCTTAAAAGAATAGGTCAAAGATCGTGACCACGCCGCAGTTCTCTCCGTTTGGTTTGCAACGGTGAGGAGAGATGGGTCATTGGATCTCGGATTTTATGGCTAAAATCTTTGATGAGAAGTTCGATCTTGTGCCTATTTAAAGGAGAGTCTAGTCTTCAATTTCATTATGGAGATTACATCTCTCTCTTCTATTTTCTTCTTCTTCTTCTTCTAAATTTCTGAGTTTGAGTTTGAGAGCTTCATCTCTTTTGGGTTGAGTGCACAACACAATTGAGAGCAGAGTGAACCCTGGAGTGAGCCGTCTTGGTTATCTTGCACACCGGGATTAGGCGGTTTTTCGCTCAAGTGCAGTAGATTCTCTACGGCTCTGCGACTTTCGTTCTTTGTCAATTCTGGTTCTAAGCTTTATTTCCAACAAATAGTTTAGTAAGAAGTTGTAGTTACATGTTCTCTTCCGTCGAGGAGTACGTAGAATGCTTGAACTTCTTCTTCTTTGGCGGTTTTTTGCTACAATGATCGATTTGGTTCTTCACTTCTTGTTTTCCGCTTTTGAGCTCTCTTTGACCTCCGCACATTTCTTTCTCTTCAAGATTGTTCATCTACAGTATTCCCAAAAAAACTGTCTTCTCCTAACATTGTCTTGTTACTAGGAGAATTTCTCGTAGCTATCTCAGGAACCTGAGAAAAATTACAATCTTATATGGTCATTTAACATCCTAAGAGAAAAATTTTGCTAAAAAAACTTACCGTGTCTTGAGGAACTTCGGGAAAGTTTTCTTCTTGAAGATTTGCATGAGTACTCGTATTAAAAGCTTCCTTTCTTGGCTCCCCATTCACCAGCGCCGGCCCTTCCATAAAGCACGTAAGGCATATGCTTGAGGCCACAATTTGTTTAAGTAGTTTTAAGGGCCACATGATGTATTGGTAATTTGGTCAAATTGGTATAGTGACTCCTTAATCCACGTCTATTTTAAATATAATTTAAGTTCCATTAATATTTTTTTCAAAAGAATTTTTGTTTTCAAGTTTCTTTCTTGGATACTTATACCATTTTCAGTAATTTTATTATTTTTAATAGTTAAAAAACACACCAGTAAAAATTTGTATTAGGCAAGAAGTTAAACTACATAACTTCAAATGATGTAATGTGCCTCTAGGTATATATATATTTTGAAACAAATTAAGTCATTTTCTAATTATTTAAATATAAATTTTTAATAGTGTTAATTATAGTTTACTATAATTTGATAAAGCTACGAAGTTATAACTTTTCGATAAAAATTTGTCATAGAAATAGAATAGGCCACAATTTGTTAATATGCTTTAGGCCTCAATACTCTTAGGACCGGCCCTGCCATTCACTATAGAAGGACATCTATAGTCTGTTGAAATATGACCAATATCATCAGTGGAGCAACGAGGCTGAGATGCTTCATTCAAACCATGGTTGTGTCCTTTGATCACATTGCCCTGAAATCTCGCGCGGCTTTACCACACAGAGGAAGAATACACTAAAAAGAAGGCGTAAAAATCAAGATTCACGTTTTACATCTTCAGAGAAAGTTCCACGAATAGATTGGTTTATCATGTCATTAATTATCAAGAACACATCGTTAAGCATCCATCTTCTACTCTCAGAGAAGCATATTAATACTAATACAAGTTGGTTGAGTGAAGAAAACGAACTGCTACCATTTTCTGATGCGGGTTGCGTTGAAAGTTTGCTAACCCAAACAATGATCGAATCGAGAAAATTTGCATTTTTTTTTTTCTTTGGCAAGAACTTAATTGGAAATTGACTTAGTACCCATGGATAAGTCCTACATTTAATAAGATTTTTAATTTTTATTTTGCCTCGAACACGGTTGAATCAGAACATTTTCGGACACGTGTGTATTAATTATAGAGAGAGATGTATACGTCACGGACACGTTTAGAATATCTCTCAATCTATCAAAAACCAAAACCGTAAACACTCGTCGTTTTCTTTGTATATAAAGACCAAACACCTTTCACATTTCGCCAACTAGAATCGAGAGTTTTCGTTGCCCCCATTTACATTTCTTCACGATCACCACCAGTAAGTTTCTCTTCCTTTTCTCTCTGTCTGTCTTCTTATGTCTAGATTCATGATCTCGCCACTCAAAATTTGTGTCTTTTTTTTTTTTTTTTTTTTTTTTATAATCCCCAATTCTGGGTTTTTTCTAAGATCTGGACATCGATATTTCTCCCTTTTCGATGATCACAAGAAAACAATGGGAAAAGAAATCGTAAACATATCCGCATACATTGATATTAGGATCAAATTTGCAAGCTTGGTCTTGATTTGTGTGTTTGTTTCATATTTGTTTAGAAAAAAGGTATGGTGAAGGAGAATGAGTACTACGAGATCTTAGGCGTCAAAACTGATGCCTCCGATGCTGAGATTAAAAAGGCTTACTACTTAAAAGTAAAGTCTTTTTTTTTTTTTTTTTTTTTTTTTGATAATGTAAAATTTTGATTGTGAATATCCTTTTGTTTGTTTGCTCTTCAGGCAAGGAAAGTTCATCCAGACAAGAACCCTGGAGACCCTCAAGCTGCTAAGAACTTTCAGGTGTTTTCAGATTGTTACTGTTTGTTTCCAGGGTCTTTGTCTCTTGTTTTACTTGAATCTTCATAAAGTTCTCCAGATCATGTCTCTCATTTGTTGCTTTCATGAATGAAAAAGGTTTTAGGTGAGGCTTATCAGGTTCTGAGCAATCCGGAGAAGCGAGCTGCTTATGACAAATATGGCAAAGAAGGGGTCCAACAGTATGTTTTGGTCTCTCTCTACGGTTTCGGTTTGTGATTGGTTGAAGCTGGTTATATGTTTTTGTTGTCAGGGATGCAATGGTTGATCCTGCAGCTGTATTTGGTATGCTTTTCGGAAGCGAAGTCTTTGAAGAATATGTTGGCCAGCTTGCACTTGCTTATTTGGCATCAATCGAAGCTGACTTAGAATCACATGAGCCTGAAATCAGAAAGCAAATGCTTCAAGACAAGATCAAAGTACATTGTTTTCACCCTTCTATTTAATGTGTGTTGATGTTAAGTTACTTTTCTGCATGTATTTTATGTGGGGATTGTGTGCAGGCTCTACAAAAGGAGAGGGAAGACAAGCTCGCCGCTACATTGAAAAACAAACTTGAACCGTTTGTAGAAGGACAAACCAATGAATTTATCGAATGGGCAAACGAAGAGGCAAAGCGGCTTTCTTCTGCCGGTAAACCCCCCCTTTGCATTTTACCTATAAATGAATGTCTTTTCATATAAACCAAGAAAGCTAGGCACAAACTGTATAGAAACTGAAATTTTTTCCATAATCTTGCTCTGCTGTTTAAGGTTTTGGCGAAGCAATGATGCATACTATTGGTTACATTTACACAAGAAAAGCTGCTAAAGAAATCGGTAAAGACAAGCGGTATATGAAAGTGCCGTTCTTAGCGGAATGGGTGCGTGACAAAGGCCACCATATGAAATCTCAAGTCATGGCTGCTTCTGGTATAAAACAAAGCAATATATAAACCAAAGTGTTTTGGTTTTCTAACTTAACAAAATCTTTACTTACGTTGGATGATTTTGTTTTGATCTGTAGGTGCGGTTTTGTTACTTCAGTTGCAGGATGAAGTGAACAAGCTGAATGAACACCAAGGAGAGAACAAAGAGGAGCATATTCAGAAAGCCATTGAAGCTAAGATGGATGCTTTGCTTCAATCTCTTTGGCAAATCAATGTTCTCGACATCGAATCCACTCTATCTCGTGTTTGCCAATCTGTAAGATACTAAGATTCATCATACATTATACAACCATTTTTCTTGTAGCAACAATCAATTAGGTGTTAATTTTGTCCCTTTCTCTCACAGGTGCTTAAAGATCCAAGTGTTTCCAAGGATGTTCTTCGAGCTCGTGCCATAGGACTGAAGAAACTTGGAACGATCTTCCAGGTGAGCAAAAACAAAAGGGTTCGTACCTTAACATAAAAGAAATACTCATTGTGTTTAGATTTAAGTTCTTGAGAGCGAAAAATATTTCTTTTTGAAAAAACATGTAATTCAAAACTTTGTGAACCTCTATGTTTTCTCTTTCAAGGGTGCTAAGAAGCCGTACACAAGAGGAAGCAGCTTGCGTCGCGAACGCGCCGTGAAAGTGGACACGGGAGGTTCTTCAAAGGCGACGTCTTGAAACTCCGATCACCGGAATCTAAATTGCTGTTTCTTTTAATCTTTTATTGGCTGAATTTGGATTTGTCCTTTGTTTTTACTTTCCTTTTTTGTAGAGATTGTTTTCTATGATAATTTTTTATTTTATTTTGTGTAGTAGATGATACATATAAGGCTGTCCCAGACGTGCTTCTTCTGATAGAGTGGAACCTAAGTCTACCGACATTAACCAACAGAGAACTCTCTCTAGGTTGGAAGCAGACAGGCGAAAAGGAGAGGAGAGGAAATCCCTCAGACCCTCACTTTCAAATAACAGAGAGTACTCTGTTTTGAGAGGTAAATCCTTTAGCAGACCTGGTGTGGAGAGGAGAGGTCCTCCTAGTCAGCGTTCTCATAATAGTGAGCTTCAGAGGGGATCAAACCGGTCCACCCCCAGATATCATCCCTATGGAGGATCTTCTCATCGTTCTATGGCTTGGAGCCCAGTAAGAAATGACGTCTCTCGTTCTAGACATGGTGAATCCTCGGTGATGAAACCAGGGGTACATCCTCGTTCATTTTCCCGTGTTGGTGAGCTCCCCCCACGTCAGGAAAGAAGTACAGGGGTCGAACATGCACTACCCCAATCTCGGGATAACTTCTCTAGACGCGAAGAATCTAAGATCCCAGAGGGAAGCCTGCACAGAGAAGATTCCTCAAGACCTCGCTCTGCAAGAACTCCTCCTCCAAGACCTCAAAGAGAGGAAATGGCCCCTCCACCCACGGAGCAGGGAGAAGTCTCCAGTATCCCTAAAACTAGGAGACCAGCGCTTGAACGCCTTTCCTTGGGGGGAACGTCTCACCCACAACCCCTGCCAGTTCTGACTCATTCTGTAGAATCAGACCATCTTCAAGACATCGAGATTCGGTATGCAGAGGAAGCCAACCAGTAAACGGAGTTAGGGAGGGGTGATTTCCCTCCTCCTCTGTTTCACAATCAGACTCTAAGTCTTGCAAGCCAGCAAAACATGGTCTTGAGTTCCCTGCCAGATGCTATTTCTCCTGACATAGGAGGCTCCTCTATGAGGATTCCGGCTTCTTTAAGACTTTGCCCTTCACCAGTCCAAGATGCAGGCCCGTCAGCCAGTAAGAAGCAACCCAAGAAAGCTGCAGTGACCAGAGGAAAAAACAAGAAGAAAGCAACAAAACCTCCGAAACCATCTACTTGCCCAAGGGCCAACAGGAGTCCGGTGCAGGGAGTTAGTCTGAGGAAAGCAAATGTCCTGCGAGCCCAAAACAGTACTAGAAGAAGACTCAGTGTGGAATTACCTCCAGAGGCTCCTATTCAAGTTGGATCACATGAACCTGGCCCCAGTACTACTTCGTTAGTGACCTTAATTCCGGCGACAAGCAAGGGACGGGTGGATTTTCGGATCCCCCCAAACCCGCTTCCTTAGTCACTTTGAGCTGGAACTGTCAAGGGCTTGGAAACCCCCTTACAGTTCGTCAAATCCGGGAGTTTAAAGATACCATCTTCCCGGATATAGTGTTTCTCATGGAAACGAAAAACCAAGATGATCATGTGTTCCATGTTTTTGATACTTTAGGTTATTGTAACAAGTTTACGGTTCCTCCACAAGGTTTGAGTGGTGGACTGGCCTTATTTTGGAAAGAAGAAATTGAGTTAGAAATTTTATCTTCTTCTCCAAACTTTATAGATACTCAGATCAAGAGTAATGGCAGGGCATCGTCCCTTATCACTTTCATCTATGGGCAGCCACAACAAGAAAATCGAAAAGAGTTCTGGGATGAAATCTCCTTGCTGGGAGAGGGCAGAGAGATGGCATGGCTGCTCACAGGCGACTTTAATGAAATACTGGATAATTCCGAGAAGATCGGTGGGCCTCTTCGCTCTGAAGGTTCTTTTATCAACTTCCAGAGTTTTGTTTCCCAGAATGGACTATGGGATATCAAACATGCTGAAATCCTCTATCGTGGAGGGGTAAGCGTCATACCCATTATATTAAATCCAGACTGGATAGATCGATGGCCAATTGTTCATGGAATGAAACCTTTCCCTCGGGTCGCTGCCAGTACCTCCGCTTTGAGGGCTCGGATCATAGACCACTAGTAACTTTCTCTGATGAATCAAGAAGGAAGAGAAAGGGAGTTTTCAGATTTGATCGCAGGCTGCTGCAAAATGAGGAAGTTAAAGGGGTAATTGTTGATTCCTGGAATCATTTCCAGCGTGAACCCTTGGAAAACAAGATAATGAGATGTAGAAGAGCCATTATTGAATGGTCTAAAGCTCAGAACCGTAACAGCAACAAGAAAATCAATGACCTGCAGTCTAGACTTGAGGATCTCCTCTCAGCACTATTACCGGATCCAGAACAGATTGGGTCTACAACTGAGGAGCTCCAGCAGGCTTATAGAGAGGAAGAGCTATTCTGGCGTCAAAGAAGTAGAATTCAGTGGCTCCAACATGGTGACAGGAACACTGGATTTTTTCATGCGGTCACAAGAGGCAGGAGACACCAGAATAGGCTGAATACGATTGAAACGGAACAGGGTACCTCTGTTCATGAGGAAAACCAAATTGCTGCGACTATTGCAGACTACTTCCACAAGGTGTTTACCTCAAATGGAAATACGGATTTCCAGATAGTGTCAGAGGTCTTGACACCTTGTATCACACAGGATATGAATGATCAGTTAACAAAGGCCCCCTCTCTTGAGGATATTCGTGCAGCCGTGTTCTCAATCCACCCGGATAAAGCACCGGGACCGGACGGCTTCTCGGCCAGCTTCTTTCATGGTTATTAGGATGTTATAGGCCCAGATGTATCCCGAGAAATTTGGTCTTTTTTTGATCAGGGAGTGATTCACCAACAACAAAACTCTACGTATGTATGCCTCATCCCTAAGATCAAAGCACCTAAGAAGGTTGCGGACTATAGGCCTATTGCACTTTGCAATGTGTTTTATAAGATCATCGCCAAAATCCTAACCCGGAGACTACAACCCCTCCTAGAACAGCTCATCTCACCACATCAATCTGCTTTCGTCCCGAATCGTGCTATCTCGGATAACGTGTTAATCACGCATGAGATTTTACATTTTCTCCGCATTTCAAAAGCACAAAAACGGTGCTCTATGGCGACCAAAACGGATATAAGCAAGGCGTACGACCGAATCGAATGGGGTTTTCTAAGAGCAGTGTTGACTAGACTGGGGTTCCAAGAGAAGTGGATAGGCTGGGTAAGACTTGTGTAAGCTCTGTCAATTACTCTTTCCTTATCAATGGCCATCCGCAAGGTATGGTTAGCCCAACTCGAGGTCTCCGCCAAGGCGACCCCTTATCACCATACCTATTTATCCTATGTACCGAGGTCCTTTCGGGTCTATGCCGTAAAGCTCAAAGGAATGGGACTCTTCCTGGAGTTAAAGTAGCGCATGGCAGCCCCCCGGTTAACCATCTCCTTTTCGCGGATGATACGATGTTTTTCACAAAAACAAAAGGTTCTTGCTGCGAGGCTCTAAGATCAATACTAACACGGTATGAGGCGGCATTAGGACAAACCATTAATACCAACAAGTCTTCAATTACTTTCTCATCAAAGACTCCCGCAGAGTTCAAGCATCGAGTAAAACGCTCCCTAGGAATCAATTTGGAGGGGGGAGTTGGTAAATATCTTGGGCTTCCGGAGAACTTTGGGAGGCGCAAGAGGGATATCTTTACTTCCATTGTCGACAAGATTAGACAAAAAGCAGGAAGCTGGTCGTCCCGTTTCCTCTCGGCTGCAGGCAAACAGATCCTTCTCAAAGCTGTGTTGGCTGCGATGCCTTCTTATGCTATGACTTGTTTCAAACTTCCAGGCTCAATGTACAAAAGGATTCAAGCGGCATTAACTCGCTTCTGGTGGGATGACAAGCCAGACAAGAGAAAGATGTGTTGGGTTTCCTGGGACAAACTAACACTTCCCAAAAATGCAGGTGGGCTGGGTTTCCGAGAGCTTGAGCGATTTAATGATGCTCTCTTGGCCAAACTCAGCTGGAGACTCCTTAAAAATCCACATTCCTTGCTTGGTCAAGTTCTTATGGGCAAATATTGTCATGTTTCCTCCTTTATGGAGTCTTCTTGTCCTTCAAATGCTTCTCATGGCTGGAAAGGTATTCTAGCAGGAAGAGAAACTCTGAAAAAAGGATTAGGTTGGTTGGTGGGTAATGGACAGAGTATAAATATTTGGCGCGATCCTTGGCTCTCTACATCTACTCCCCTGTCCCCTTTTGGACCACCAACTGCTGAAACAATGGACCTCAATGTTGACTCCTTAATACATCAAAACCCGCCTAGCTGGAATATTGCAGCCATAAGACTTCACTTACCTCTTTATGAGGATCAGATCAGGAAACTGTCTTTAAGCTCAAGGCGATTAGACGACTCCTTAGTCTGGTTACCTGCAAAATCAGGAATTTACTCAACAAAAACCGGGTATGCTCTAAATAAGCTTCACTCTGAACCCCTAGAGAGGGATGGTTTCAATTGGCAATCCAATATCTGGAAGGTTCGTACCTCTGCCAAACTAAAAACCTTTCTCTGGAAATCGGTGGCTCATGCCCTCCCTCTGGGGAAATCCCTCCAATATAGAGGGATTACATCGGATGTAACCTGCAAAGTTTGTGGTGAAGTGGAGGATGAGATTCACGTCTTCTTTAGATGCCCTTTTGCGGCAAAAGTCTGGGACCTTGCCCCAACGATTCTCCAGCCTAGACAAGCCAACCTGAATTCAATGAAAAGTGTACTGCTGGAAATTAAGAAGATGATCAACCTCCCTCCCTCAGGCCTTTCTCATGCACCGTTGTACCCATGGATCCTCTGGTTCCTTTGGAAAGCCCGAAATCAAAGGATTTTCAAAGCAGAGCAGTGCTCGGAACAGGAGGTAATCCTTAAAGCGGTAAGGGAAGCTCGCAGTTGGCAAGGTGCACAACAACAGTTACCAAAAGTGAAAACAGGGGAACAACGAACAGGGCCTCCCCTGAATTTGGATGCTTCGTGCTGCTTCGTGGATGCAGCATGGGACGTGTCGTCGGGACACTGTGGACTTGGCTGGATTATAAAGATGGATCACAATGGACCAGTCCTTCAAAACACAAGCTCAAGGAACTTTGTCGCATCGGCTCTTTCGGCGGAAGCCTTTGCTTTAAAATCAGCCATGGAAGCAGCTCTTGAAGCTGGTCTTTCTTCGCTCCAATTCTGCTCTGACTCGCAGACCCTTGTTTCAATCCTTTGCTCAGGTGAAGATTCAAACGAGCTGAAGGGAATTCTCCATGATATCAGATCGTTGAGAGCTCACTTTCATTCTATCTCCTTTCATTTTATTAAGCGCTCCTTTAATGAGCCTTCTGATGTTTTAGCAAAATCGGCCCTTAAGGCCCTGAACCTCTCTATTTGTATTGGTGGGTAACTCTGTTTTAGTTATCTAATGAATATCTTTGACCAAAAAAAAACATATAAGGTGAGAGAATTCTCATTAAAACCTTTTCGGTTTCGAAATTGTCCACATTGTTCATACGTCTCAATTCATATTTCATTCGAAAACTATCTTAGGAACAAAATTTACAAATTACTTTCTTCTATTCAATCAAAAACAGTTATAGGAAAAAAAAAATACTTTCTTTAATAATCGTTATCTCATGAATAATAAATAAATTGTTAGGAAATAAATTCGTTTTGATTCCCTTTCCATCTTTCCGCGTTGTGTCGTTTTAACATTGACGTGCCATTGTTCACCTAACGACAACGTCACTTTAACTCCGCTAAAACTAACGACTAAAGAACAAATAAGTCAAAATGTAATGTTTGGTCCTATTAAACCAAAGACTAATCAAACCGGTCCAATTCGCTAATCCTGCCGACCTGAAAAAGTGGACTTATTTTACTTCAATAATATACAAATGACATTATGATGAAAAAATTTCAATTTACAGCGAAGAAAACAAATTTTAGAATCTATACTAGTATTTTTGCAATATTTTGGTGACGGGTGGGCTAAAATTCTTTTGGGTTAATCGGATATCCGACCCGTTTTTAAAATTTCTTCACAAAAAATTTGTTGGGTCGGATTATATTTAACCCAACTCATACACCGGATATTCCATATTTAATAATTTAGATATTTAGAAGATTTGATTAAGATTTATAATTATGATTCTCCTATCATCTTTGTTTGATTTGTTTTTAACTGTGTTGAATCATCATATAATACATAAAGTAAAAAAAAAAATCAATTTTTTTTCTACATATACTGTGATTCGAAATTTTAAAAACGGACATATATTATCCAATTGACGAAAAAGTGTGTTCAAAGTTCTACATCGATTAAAATATTTAGACAATGATTCAGAATCATATCATAAATAAGAACATTGATAAAATAAATGAATTTTTTGGATGGACGGGTTTGGCGGGACGGATTTTTGAATCAACAATAATAAAAATATTAAAATATCATTAATCTGCCGCTTCAATACGGACTAAATCCTTCTTTTTTTAATACCACAATTATTAGACATATTAAATCAGTCTCATTTAGAAAAGATTGTATAAAATTAAAAATTGTCCCGTGGTATAATGTCTCGTGGTCTTAGAGGATGATATGATTTGTAAACTTTTATATATAATAAATAATCATTAAATTTTAAAATAAATAACAAATCACGGGACGGTTTAAGAAATTACGAAACGGGTTATATTTCGGAAAGGATTTATATGGCGGATGAATTTGAATCAATATTTATATACCGCTTTAATACGGATTAAATCCTCAGTTTATTAATAATTGTCTCGTGGACTCGTGGTATATCGTTACTTAATAACAATTGTAAACTATAATATAAATAAATATGTTACAAAGGGATACAATTTACAAAATATTTTTATACTAACTTTAAAATTAAATCATCCCGCGGTGTACCGGGTTAAAATAGTACACTCGATATTTAATTTGGTACGGTTTATGGGCCTTAAACCGGTACAAGCCAATCGGAATCTAATACTAAAAAAACCGGTCAAAAGACTTGGATTCGTCTCTTTCCTTAAGAAGGAAAAAAGAGCCCTGCTCATTTTTCTCACTCTAAAAAACCACCGCAATCTCTCTCTAACTATGTGAAAACGGTCTTCATTTTTTAACTTCCCGGCGACGTTCTCCGACTTCCGAGAGCAGGTTCGGTGATCATAACTTTCGTCTCAAATGCTTAATTCTTGTTAACTATTTTCGATTTTGTTTTTAGGGTTTTTTAGTTTCTATTTTGGGTAATCTCATCTTGGTTTACAAGTTCCTTGGCCCTAATCTCGGATCTGTTTAACGTTAGTTATGTGACCTGTGTAAATTTTGCCCGATTCAATTGCTATTTTTGGTGTATTTTTTGGATTTTTCTTAGTGAAGATAGTCACAAAATTTCACTTATCTACAAGTTAGTGAGCATTCGTTTTGCTTGATTTGTATCTCTCTTGATTTGATCCCAAACCTTGTATTGATAGTCATAATTGATTCTGATTGACTTCCTCAATTTTGTTTTTGTTAGAAGGTTTTGAGGTGGTTTTATGGATCTAACCGGAGTGTCTTTGTGTGGTGCTTAGTAGTTTTCAGTCACACGCTTCAGTTATGGGGAATGCTTGTTGTGTTGCTGCTCGAGATAAGATGGTTGTGTCTAATATATCGGCAGTCGAGAATTTGCAAAGAAACAATGTGAATGCGAGGTATTCTCCTAATTGGAGCTTTCGATGGGATAATAGAGGACGAGTGGCAGGTGAAGAGACCTCTGTCAGTTGGTTATCTGATGGGATTAGTCGTAACGATGTGTCTGATGTCAAATCGGAATCTGCTTTTGTATCATCACAAGGGTCTCCTTTGGACAATTTTCAGACGCAGTCATGGCAGAAATCTCCTTCTTCAGGTAAATTCCTTTATTGCTTACATCCAAAACCTGTTTGATTTGTCAAAAACTGTAGGCACCTTCTTTTGACCCGCTTCGAATTTAGGATTACTTTTCTACAGAAACTGCTAATGACATTGATATGTTTGTTGACATAAACTGTTCTCTTGTTTGCTTCTTGACTTGCATTTATTGGTCTCCATCCATTTTTATCGTTAAACTATGACTTTTCCGTGTTATGACATTACGTTATTGTTGTGGCAGATCAATCTTTTGCTTCCATTGGCACCGTCTCTGAACAGGTAAAAACTAAAAAGCTTTGTTTCACGGCTAGCTATATATATGCCATGTATCTCTGTTAATATATGACCCCAATTTTACTGTTTTAGATCACCCAAAAAACAAATGATTCAACCGACCCTGCTTATTATCCATCTCCTGCAAAACTGTCTCTTTCATTGGCTTCTCAACCATCATCATTCTCAGCGTCACCACTATCATCCCAGAGCCACTTGCCAATGCCACCTGCAAGTTCATCGCAGTTGAAGCTGACACCGCCCCCTCGTCTATCAAAGCAAGTCTCAGATGGTCGAATCTTTGGATTCACCTCACCGAGTAGAAGCTCAGCAACTGAAGAGAGGCTGGGGAATGAATCTCAGTCTGATGGTTGGTCCATGCAAGCCTTTTCCGAAATGATGGCGTATTCTCGCAGAGAGTCTTGCTCTTACGATAACGAGTGCTTTGGGATTCGTCGTGACAAGATAGACAATCATGGAAATAGAAAGTCCAATGATCAGCAAAACTGTGGTGCTTGCTCGAGATCCTTGTCTGAGAAATCTTTGTTGAGTAGCCAAAAGATCTTTGCCACTAACGAACTCTCTATCGCTGCAATATTAGCTTGTGGGCACGTCTATCATTCAGAGTGTTTAGAGCAGATGACACCTGAAATCGACAAATTCGACCCTCCTTATCCCATCTGCACACTGGGTGAGAAGAAAACATTCAAACTGTCGGAAAAAGCATTAAAGGCAGATTTGGAAATGAAAGCTAGACACAACAAGAGACTAAGAAACCGCGTTGTGGACAGCGATGACTTTGTCATGTTTAATAACAACCACAAAGCGGCAGCAACAGTAGCAGGATACAAAGGTAAAGCCCCAAAGCTGATATCGAGTTCAAGCTTGAGAAGCTATTCCCCAAAGCCTTTCCTTGCGAGACACTTCTCTTTCGGGTCCAGAAGTAGTAGTGTTAAAATCACGAAAGAGAATCATTCCGCAAGCTCTCTCAGAAAGAAAGGCTTCTTTTGGACCAAATCTAGCAAACTTTGAAACTGTAAGCATCTCTCTCTCTCCAAGCATCACTTGTGAATCTGAAGCTCAGGACTCAAATTAACGAGTCACACTTTATAATTGTTGAATCTTGTTTCAGATTCTGGGTGCTTGTTTCTCTTCGTAAGCTAGGGCCGAAGTCAACGTTACGTTTACTTATCAACGAACGGTACACACGTTTGTGTGTATTACAGAAAATTTTCTCACAAGTCTCCCATTTTTTTTTTTGCATTCCCAATTACACTTGTAAATATATATTTATAATAATATAAGGTAAAATGATCTGACAGTGCACCAGAGGATGTGAATTGGGTTAATCAGATCGAGATAATTATATTATGTCTTTTTTCATGCGGAATCGTCTTATACGTTTTATATAATAATAACCGAATGTTATTCTACTACAAGTATTTCTATACAAATGTTTCAGTTGAGAAAAAAGGTATTTTAGTTATAAATAATTGATTTGCATTATGATCCAATTATCAAGGTTCGTTTGTTTAGTGCTTTGGGAAATTAGTTACCAACACAAAGTTGCAATTGCCAATCAGCTCGTAAGGTTTGGTCTTGAATACGTCAAGAATTTAAAACTCAGAGCACCGACCTTCTTTAGCGGTTCTACGTCCGTGATCAAATCCACATGTGTCCATATACATAACATAGAAAGCACCGTACATAGAAGTAAGAAGATAACGTTTTTTTTTTTTTTTTTTTTTTTTTTTTTCCGTAGAAGATAACGTGCTGGCAAAAAAAAAGAAGATAACGTTGGTCTACCGAATCTATTAAAAAGGCAAAACGTTATTATGTCGGATTCGTGACGTATATTTTATCAAACCAAACACATGATACGTGGTACTCCTTTTCTATACGTGCGTGGCAAAAGATTTCACATTAAATACGCCACGTCTCATTTCCATGCAGATTAACATGTCTTATATATATGCACACTTGATCAACCTCAAACCAAGTGTTTTCTAAGCAGTATTTGAAAGAATAAATCTAAAACACAAAACAGATCAGAAACGAAAAAAGAAATAAAAGATTGTTGACAATGGCGGATTTGAAGGACGAACGAGGAAACCCAATCCATCTAACCGATGAACACGGAAACCCGGTGCAACTGACTGATGAGTTCGGTAACCCCATGCACCTAACCGGCGTTGCCAGCTCCGCTCCTCAGTATAAGGAGAGTACTACCGGCGACATTGCTGAGCACTCTACTAGCACTGTTGAAGGAACACATCCGGTCGATGCAGGAATACATCCGGCAGCTGCTGCTACCACCGCTGCCGCTGCCACAGGAGTCACTGCTGGTACCGGAGCAACCGCCACAGGGCAGCAGCACCATGGCTCGCTTGAAGAGCATCTTCGTCGGTCCGGAAGTTCATCTAGCTCTAGCTCGGTGAGATTCTGTTACATATATAGATTCTGATTTATTTTTTGTTTTCTTCAAATAAAAAACGATAAGTTATACTCCCTCTGTATTTGAAAAAATGTCGTTTCAACTGTTTTTGGGTGAATTAAGAAAGGGCACAGAATTACAAAACTAACCTTATGAGAAACGATTATTTACAATTATATTTTTGGTATATGTAGTTTTGGTAATTTAGACTGATTAATTATGATCAATTAATTGGGGGTAATTTAGGAAATTTTATGCAAAAGTTGTTAAAATGACAACTAATTAAAAACACAGAAAAAGGCTAGAACGACATTTATTCAAATACGGAGGGAGTAGTAGTTAATACGTTCTCACTCATATTTACAACTATATAAAAGTAGTAACTAAAATAATATTACTTTCCAAAAAATGTTATAATTTTTGTTTCGAAACTTTAAGAGTACCAAAACAAATATAGGGTTCTCAAACTTACAAAAAAAAAATCCTAAACTAGTCCTATGATAGGCCCCTTTTTTAACAAACCGTCTTATGTATTTGGATCGATCTTTTAATAGTCAACGATATATATGATTTTGAAATAGGAGGATGATGGGCAAGGAGGGCGGCGGAAGAAGAGCATAAAGGAGAAAATCAAAGAAAAGTTTAGTAGCAGCAAGCACAAGGACGAACAAACGCCAAGCACAGCCACTACTACTGTCGGATCCACAACCACTGACCAACCCCACGAGAAGAAGGGCATTCTCGAGAAGATCAAGGACAAACTTCCTGGCCACCACAACCATAACCACCCATGAATACCAATCATGCATATGAGGTCTTCGTTTCATGAATAAATCGTTTGCACGAATTTCCTTAGGGCTTATGGTGAATCAATATATATATATATATATATATATATATATATATATATATATATATGTCGTCTACTGAATTTTAGTTTCATGTGTTTGTGAATGTGACCATCGTGTGCTCATGTTCTTGTTTTATTTATAAAGAAGGAATTGTATTTTGCTAGCATTTTTGCTCAATTGACAACGGTCTAGTGCAACTAGCAAAAAAAAACGACCTTTTTCTCTCTCTTTGTCCCCTCTCGACAGAAAAATAAAAAAAAGCCAGAAGTTCTTTGATTACTGATTCTTCTTCTCCGGTGGCCACCACGGCGCTGTGAGAGGGAGCTTTAAAGTTTTATGTCTCTTTTGTAGTTTCTTCTCGATTGTTCTTCTTGCTTTTGTTTTTTTGGTTTTGGATCTTTCTCGTCTGATGAAGATCCGCGTTTTCTCCGGCATAGGTGGTTCCCTTTTCACCTTTGGTTGGCTTTTGACCCCGGCGATCTCGGCTTCTTTAGCGAGTTTGTTCGGCTTTGACTCCGGCATAGGTGGCTTCTTTTGCACCTTTGGCTGGCTTTTGACCCCGGCGATCTCGGCTTCTTTAGCGAGTTTGTTCGGCTTTGACTTTGATGGTTAGGTGTTGGTTTTGATGGAAAAGGTTACGGTGGGTGAGTTTATGGGAGCTTTTGGTACATCCATCGTGTTTGTGCCTTTGTCGAGAAGTGATAAGCTAAAGTGGGATCTACTCCTTCAAGATTTGGATACTCTTAGATAATGAGTTTTGCAGATATTTCAGGTATAATTAGATTGCACTCATGGTTTTGCCGGGTCGCGCGTTAAGTGTAAATGTTCCTGGGACAAGGGTTAAGTGAGAGATCCGATTTTTACCCTACTAATATTTTATTTTGAAATTTCTGCAATTGGCTATTATCGATGTTTTTCCGTTTGTCTTGTTGTGGGTTCTCCAAGGTTGTAATAATCGTTTAAAAGCTTTAACTCCGGGGATTGTATGTTATCCGCCGGCTTTAAGTTCTCAGACGGGCTCTGTAAGTTTTTCCCTTGTTTATGAATAATAAAAATCAATAGATGACCAAAAAAAAAAAAGACAACGGTCTAGTGAATAATTTCCTTAGAATTCTTTACAGTAAAAATACAAAAAAGGGTTATACAACACGCAACCGTACGAGAAAGCGTTAAACCGAGTAACCTCGTATCCACGCAAAAAGGGTTATACAACACGCAACCGTACCAAAAAAGGGTTATACAACACGCAACACGCAACCTCGTATCCCACGACCTCTACCCTACACACATGGCTATTTTCTGAGAGCATGAAGCAGGAACCAAGTAAATACACTGTGGAATCAATGTTCTTGAACTTCGAAACCTTGATAAGCTAGATCTAGTTAGATTTCCACTCCTCGTTCTTCATTTTTCTTGAAATAGAGATTCACTTTCATAAAGCCAACTTAACAGTTTACTAAAAATAAAACATTCACTAATTATAACCAAACACAATAAAAATACTAGCCACACATATAACAACTCTCTTTCATGCCCTTTTTTCCCTCTCGCTCTTTCTTCAACCACAAGCATCCCAACAATCTCGTTTCTTTTCGTCTTTTCATTTTCTTCCTCATTCTTCTCTCTTCTCTCTCTCCTTTCACGAAGGAGGGATGGAGATAAGAAATAAACCAAACATACCTATGTGTCTTGTCTTAAATTCTTCTTCCAGGCCCTTCATGCCTCTCCTCTTCACCATCCTCCTCTTCTTAACCGGCCTAGCGTCCGTGGTTGCCATCGGTGGTGGCCCAACCGCTGGCTTCAAACCGGCTGATGACATTCTCATTGATTGTGGAAGCAAGTCATTAACCAAAACCCCTGAAGGTAGAGTCTTTAAGAGTGACTCAGAAACGGTTCAGTATATTGAAGCCAAAGACGATATTCAAGTCTCTGCCCCGCCTTCAGATAAACTCCCTTCTCCTATTTACCTAACCGCGCGGATCTTCCGCGAGGAAGCCATTTACAAGTGCCATTAACCCGTCCCGGTTGGCATTGGGTTCGTCTCCATTTCTTGGCCTTCCCAAATGACAAGTTTGATCTCCAGCAAGCAACTTTCTCTGTTTTAACAGAGAAGTACGTCTTGCTTCATAACTTTAAACTGAGTAACAACAACAATGATAGCCAAGCTACTGTTCAGAAAGAGTACCTCGTCAACATGACCGATGCACAATTCGCCCTTAGGTTCAAACCTATGAAAGGTTCTGCCGCTTTCATCAACGGTATCGAACTTGTGTCAGCTCCAGACGAACTTATCTCTGATGCAGGCACTTCTCTTTTCCCTGTCAACGGGTTCTCGGGTCTGTCTGATTACGCATACCAGTCGGTTTACAGGGTTAATGTTGGTGGCCCCTTGATCACGCCTCAGAATGACACATTAGGAAGAACCTGGACACCTGACAAAGAATACTTGAAAGATGAGAATCTGGCTAAGGATGTCAAAACAAACCCTACAGCGATCATCTATCCTCCTGGACTTACACCTCTGATTGCGCCACAGACGGTTTACGCAACAGGCGCAGAGATGGCTGATTCTCAAACCATAGATCCTAACTTCAATGTCACATGGAACTTCCCATCAAACCCATCATTTCACTACTTCATTCGTCTTCATTTCTGTGACATCATCAGCAAGTCTCTTAATGACCTCTACTTCAACGTTTACATCAATGGAAAGACCGCCATTTCCGGGCTAGATTTGTCCACTGTAGCTGGCGATCTTTCTGCTCCTTACTACAAAGACATTGTGGTGAACTCGACTCTTATGAAATCTGAGCTTCAGGTGCAGATTGGTCCCATGGGAGAAGACACTGGGAAAAAGAACGCGATCTTGAACGGAGTCGAGGTCCTGAAGATGAGCAACTCTGTGAACAGTCTTGATGGAGAATTTGGAGTTGATGGTAAAAGAGCGAGTATGGGGAAGCAGGGGATGGTTGCAACTGCGGGTTTTGTGATGATGTTTGGCGCTTTCGTAGGTCTTGGAGCAATGGTTTACAAATGGAAGAAGAGACCCCAAGATTGGCAGAAGAGAAACAGTTTCTCTTCTTGGTTACTACCAATACATGCCGG